TTATTGGTGACACCCACTTAGTGTTTTAGCAATTTCTTAATGCTAATAAAAAAAATCCATAAAATATTCTCTAAAAAATGTAAAAAATGAGTAAGCAATTTTACTCAAGCTTAACAGTCTTCGAAATATGAAATTAAAACCAATGATATAACCTAAACCAATTCTATAGCTCAAGTATGTCAAATCGACCCAAGTAAGCAAAATAAATAAACATTTAGAAGGAAAACTTAGAATCATATTCTTGCCATAATAAACAATGGCCAAACATTTATGTTTCACAAACTCTGCACATCCTTCTAATTGTAAACGTAAAAGTTTACTAAACTGAATAATTCTATTATCGATATCAGACGACATAATTTATAATTATCAGACAAAATATTGCTTAGGTGGTGGTATGACTCGAGCAACATTACCCTATACGTATATTTTTCTATAAATTTATATGTGTATATATATGTGCATATATATATTTCCCGCGAATTCGTTTATCATTCTATGAGCGCAAATATAAAATTCAAAACGATGATTACTCGAGAAAACTACTTTTTGCAGCTGCAGCAATAAAGCTGTGAGCTATAATCCCCCGCGAAGTTTATTCCAAGCCAAGTCGTTTTTTCGACCGCGTACACACATTCCCATTTCATATTTCATATTTCATATTTTTTCAACGTTTTCTCTTAGTTTTTTTTTATATTTTTTTGTTCTGTGTTCTGTACGTGCCATAAAACCTCTTTTGTGCTGTAGCCTTTGTGCCTCCGGGGGGCGCGAATTTATACGTATGAAATAGAGTACACGGGGTAATAGATACAGATGTATACATTTATATATATATTTGTATATATATATATATATTAGGGTGGTCCTTAAAATGGTCATTTTCGAATTTCCTTGCTCCCAGGGGCTCAAATGATTCCAAATTGATAAAAAACATTTCTCTGAAAGTTTTAACTCTTAATATTAACTTTAGATAGAGCGCAATCCAGTCAAAGTTTTGTATGGAAAGAGCATGGAAAAAAATTTGAAAAATTAAAAAAAATATTTTAGGTATAACTGAATGAGTTTTATTCATTCATTTCTTCGCTAAATTACATCTAAAAAACATTTTTTAAATTTTTGAAAAATTTTCCATGCTATTTCCATACAAACTTTGATTGAATTGCGCTCTATCTAAACGTTAATATTAAGACTTTCAAAAAAATGTTTTTTATCAATTTAGAACTATTTGAGCCCCTGGGAGCAAGGAAATTCGAAAATGACTATTTTAAGGATTACCCTACTATATATATATATATATATATATATATATATATATATATATATATATATATCGGAAATCAAACACTTTTCCGATTATAAAATATTTATTCATTTATGCCGTGATAAATTTCATAAATTTATCTGAACCAAAACTTTACATAGTTCAAAACAAATGATCCAACAAAAACTCATGTCAATTATTATTTTTGTCTCGCTTACTAAAATTGACGCGACCTGCCAATCTCCCACATATATATATATATATATATATATATATATATATATAATAGATGACCCGAAAGACGTTGTCTTGTACTCACGTCTATAATTCAAAAGTTCCAAATATTTTAATATCCTATCCTATACTTTTTAATATCCTATTTGATGTCCTGCCTTTGTGATTCATTTATGGCCTTAGCATGAGCAGTCTAAGAAATTCAAAAAAAAAAAAAAATATAGTATCTATAAAAAAATAATTTAGTCTATAATTTTCATAATCTCGATCGATATATTAGTTGCTTTTAGGTAATTATAATTTCTAAAGCACATTTTTCTTACTAATAATTCAATAAACATTATTGTTTATGTTCAAATCTTAGGTCAATTAATTTGTAAAATCTACTCTTCAATCTAAGATCAACTTGCTGAATATTCCATATCAAATGACAAACAAATGAATTTTTAACACATGAAACAGAATTCTAAATCATTTTTTAATAAGTAGAAATATTCTTTTGCATTTAAATAATTCAGGAAAGTAAAGCAAAATACAATATGCATAAGCCTATAAAAATAATGTATATACAATTTAGGACTTATTGCGTTATTTATTAAAATGAATTATATAATTTCATCTGCCAAACATATACTGTTGACTGTATCTTATATTATTTTAATTTCTGGCATATCTCAGCTGCTTTTCGGGAATAATAATGTAGACATTACATTTTTCTTGTTATATTATATTTTAATATTATCTAGTATCATAATTTCAGCTAAATTCAAATTTCAAGTGAATTGACATTTCTAGCAGATGATAGTCAATGTCAAACAATGATAGGTGTTTTACTAATATTACTATAGCTTTTTATCGTTCTTAAATCTTAAAAAATTCATTTGACAAACGCTAAAAAGAATTATCAAGATCTGAATAACCGTTTAGGAGAAGTATCAAATCATACACTCGTACAGAATAATTTTATATATAAGATATAAATATACAAAGCATAAATGTATTCTGATCTATATGTATAATAGTGTAAGACGAGGCACAAATATGTTTTTTCGCTATTTTTCCAAATTTTCCAGAATTTTTTTTTTATATTAACCTGGACCTGCACGGAGCACTCAAAATCACATTTATATTTTTAATTTATATGTGTGTGGGCTGTGTGGGTAGTGGGTATGTCAATTTATCTAATATTCACATAGGCATCTAGGTATTTATTTTAAATTATTGATCACTTAATGTATGTTTGTTTTGTACCTGCGAATAGGCCGATAGTAAATCCCGTGACAAAACAAGATAATCTCCGAGTGTTCTAAGCCCACCACGCACATAATAAATATACACATTTATAAATATATACATATATTCATACATTCATATACATTCTGGTCTGGTATCCTTTTGAAGATGATCATTATAGTGGTTTGCCGAAGTAAATTTAATATTTAGTCCGTCGGAGCGAACTGACGTGATCTCAAAAGACAAAGATCTCCTTGGCACTCTCTTTGCTCTTTGAGAGGGAATATACTGACAAAGAAGATCCGATACTTGTAATAATTGTATAATATATAAATAGTATATATGTAGAGAAATCGTTATATCAGAATTTTCCTCAAGTCAAGACCTAGTTTACTCGTCAGTATAGTTTTGTTTTTTATTTTATGTCGAATAGCAGAACATCGACTAGTCAGTAAGTTCAAAGAATCTTTCTGATATTTTCTTGTCGAGATTCAGCTTCACATTTTGCTCCTGTTGCAGTGTTACTTGGTATTCAGTTTGCAATATTTTCTACTTTTACGTAAGATTCCTATTATCTGCATTCTTTCAGACTGTCTATTTTACCTTCATTGATAACGTGTAGAAGACACTTTTTACAAAGGATTTGGCAATATGTATTCATCTCCATTTTCTTCGTCTAATTACATCATATTTCTTAATTGAATAAAATTCTAACGGAGTTCTGAATTTTCCTGTTAACTACTCTATCTTTCATAAAAACAATTACCTAAAATTTAACATTTAGTTTAACCCTATTTAGGTCTAATTTAATAAAGAGTCTAAATAAGTACTCTATTAATAAGTATTTTTATAAATTAAATAAATTTGATTTTTGATGAGAATTTTAATTTACGAGTAGGCCAAAAGTGCACTCAACCTATACCTAGGCTTTATTTCAGGTTAGAGTGCGATCGGCCGTAACGGAACATTAGCCACAAATTAGATTCTTTCTTGAAATTATATTATTCTTTTTCTTGTAAGACTTTTGAATAAATTACCTGTGATTTCAACTTAATTTCTAAAACTAGTGGGGCGCATGGCATCGTGCCTTAAGGCAAATTGCTGGAACTTCCCGTACCAAAAATTATTTTTTGAAAAAAAATTACTCTGAAAAAATTAGATTTTTGAGAAACTATAAATTTTTGACAAAAATTTACTTTTTTTTGAAAAAAAAAAGAATTTTTGAGGATAAAATTTTGAAATATTTTGGAAATTCAGAACATTTTTTCAAAGCAATCGTACTGCTTTGCGCGTAAGCGCCGCGTAGTCGCCTAACGGATAAACATTGGTACGGAACCTTCAGGAATGTAAACAAAACTTATACTTATTGTTAAAATCTCTATAAAATAGCTGATTTGATGTGCATATGTCTAATCATTAGACTCTAATGATAATTTTTGACCGCCAAATGGCATTTTTTTTCACTTTTTTTACTAAATCTCCGAAACCGCTTGAATTAATTGAATGTATAAATTTGAATTATTCGAATCGGACGCTTCGTTCTCTTAAAAACTGAGTTACCGTTTTTGGCACTTTTGCCCCATATCTTCGGAACGGCTAGACCTGCCTTCGCCAAAAACTAATCAGCACGTCTCCTTATCAATACGAATCGAATGTTTTTTGAATTATTCAAATCGCTTCATTCTTGTTCCGAAATCGTCGACGAAAATTTGTATCCGCACACACACACACACACACACACATACACACACGCATGCACACACACATACATCCTTTTTTTTAAGGTATGCCGAAATGTTCAGAAGGTTTTGAAACGTAAAGATATATAAAAAATTTCATTTTCGATTTGTTTGCGCTTACTATAACTTGCCCTACGGAAAGTTAATAAAACTATTAAGGGCGCGTTCATTAATTAACCACGTGAAGTTTTCAGGAGGAGGGGTGGTTCGACAAAAAATCACGAAAAATTACGTGGGGGTATAGTAAGATATCACGTGTATTTATTTCTCATCTGAGTTTGAAAAAAAAACACAAACATTTTCAAAAAAATGCAAAAATTTTACATTTTTTTTGTGACTAAAATTACGTGATGTTTGGTTGGGGAGGTCACGTAATAAATGGACGCCCTCTAAGAAATTTGATGTTTTTGATGCTTATATAAGTTAATATGAATAATATATTAGTTAGAATTTCTCAAACACCTACAAAAATAAATGACTTGATAAAAATTTAATTTGAATATTGTTATAATAAATGCAATTCTATTTTCCAGAAGTTCTAAGATCAGCTTCTGGAGCTTCTGCAAGTGACGTCATCAAACTGTACGACCAATCAGGACGTTGCGTTCAAATCACGCCGAATTTGAAGACTGAGGGTCAAAATTATCATCTGCAGGTAATAATAAACTGAAGTATATATCAATGCAAACTCTCGTCAATTATCAATTATCTTTTATTCCCCAGGTATCAAAATACCCAGTATCGCCAAATGCATCAAAAATCTCATCACCGGCCTCGAAATTCATCAACTCCGAACTCTCGCACGAGTTAGACGTCATCTTACAGAAAATAATATCACTAGAACGTTGCCTATTCCCACTGCGAACCGGTCTGCCATCGAAGCCATCATTTCACGAAGGCGTCCTGAAGAGCCCCAAACAACAGAATCAATCGCCCATCACCGCCACTAGTCACGGTTCGAATTCTAGTCATAACAGCAACTGTGATATAAGGGAGGAAAAGGAAGAAGGGTTGGATAGGCTGAGTGGTAATCAAAGAGGCGGTAATAAGGATGGTTCAAGGGAGCAATTAAATAATAAAAATCACTGTGATACTACTGGAGCGAAGGACAATCAAATTATTAGTATTAGTAGGGCTTCCAAGGATTTGGAGGTCGCCAGGAGCTATTCGGAGGAGGAAAGGGAGAAGAGGGACGAGCAGGAGAGGCTGATCAAGCAGCTCGAAATGCTGAGCACGAGGATACAGGCGCTGACGACGAGGGCTAACGAGATCGGAGCGGAATGGATAGGTAAATAGAATGGGCAGACAGATGTATATATACATATATATATATATATATATATATATATATATATACTAGATGACCCGCAATAATATTGTAGATATTACATTGTTCTTAGCCATAATCATGAATATTTTATATACTAATATTGTCTATAAACTAAATTCAAATTTCAAGTGAATCGACACTTTTGGCAGATGACAATTCTCATGTATCAAAATGTTTTCAATGTCAAACAATGATATGTTGCTTTTTGCATTTTTTTTCATTTATTTTAACATTATTACTATATTTTTATAAGCACATGCATCATAAAAAAATCCCTTAATGAACTTCAGAAAGATTTATCAAAATCCGAATAATCGTTTAGGAGTTCTTGCCGGCCTTCCTTAGAGTCCATGTCTCTGATTCGCACAGAGCTATGCTTCAGACATGGCACTTTATTAGTCTCTTCTGCAAATCTAGACTATATATGTACTAGCTGACCCGGCAAACGTTGTGTCACATAAAAAATATTTCTAGTATAAAATGTTCATAATAAAAATAACTGATGGCAAATTTAGTATATAAGTGAAAAGGTCAGCTAACAATATATAAATAATTTACTCACTGCAAAGCACGCCACATATAAATGTTGGTGTATCATATTAATATAATAGTCTTTTCTAGAGCAAACCTAGTCTGAAACTGAGTTATTTATTTATTTATTTATTTATTCATAAGCAAGCCGTAATCAATAATAATAGATATTATTTCAGGCTCTATTTCAGATTCAGATTTTATTTCAATTGAATTGGCACATTTATTCAATAGTTTTTCGAAATAAAATAAGATCCATGTTTTTTTCAATTTTCAATTATTTAAAATTAAAATGAAAAGATTTGGTCCCAAAATTAAAAAAAAATGTTAGGGGTGGATAGCCTTTGATAAAAAATAAATAGTGTTTTGAGTATAAAGAGTTTAATGTATTTATCAATTTTATATCAAAAAAATTAAAATGAAGAAAATTGACCGCAAAACTATAAATTAGTAGGGCTGGACAACCCATAATAAAAGTAAATTATTTTTTAAAAGTATTTAAGTTTTTTCAAGCTCAAAAATCAGAACTAAAATTATGTCAAAAATATTCAGTGACTAAAAAAATGATTGAATTACTAAAATGGCTATAAAACAATAGGGGTTGGTGATAAAAAAGTAAAAATTTAGGATTGTATGTTTTTTTAATCATAAAAAAATATAAGCAAAAAAATCATCCAGAAATTTAAAAAAATTAAGTGTGAACAACCCTTATCACTTAGGGGTATGAAAAATAGATAGTAGCTAATTCCCACACCTACTGAATACGAATATAAAATTTGGTGAAAATTGGTAAAGCCGTTTCGATGGAGTACGGAAGCGAACACTGTGACATTGTAACTTACATTTTTTTCGTCCATTAAAATAATTTGAGTTAAGCCTGAATATAGCACCCCAAGATATTAATTGTATCTAATACAATTTTTTTTTAATTTATTAAATTTAGCTAAATGAATTAATAAACATTTGGTTTTCGACGATTGTCTTATTTTTAACCGGCAAGCCAAACGTGTAATGGGCAGTAACGGCTATATGAGGATCGAATATTATTTCGATAAATGATGAATGAACACAAAGTGCATCCTTGGTTTAGATTATATTATTCTTTTTTTTAAAAGCTTCAAATTTATATAATTAAATTAAAATCATTTTCTTTTTGAGGAGTGTCTTATTATGCCATTAGGCCAAACGTGCGTCTAGCCCTAGTCTAGCCGATTTTCAGACCTAAAATTACCTAAATCTATAAAGCCGTTTCGGAGTGACATCGAAATTTCATAAGATGTATATATATATATATATATATATATATATATATCATTAATTACTTTTATGTCGTTGTTTTTTTTTTCAGGATGCGGTGTCGGTGTCCATTGCGCTGGTGCGTTCAGGGAACAATTTTCAAGAAGAAGAATCAGTCTGCCGAAACACACAGAGGTCAAAGCCAAATTTACAATGATATGGTAAATATACTTTTATATATCAATATAATCGATATTTATTTAGTCTGCATCGAGACTTATATTAAATAATAAATTTTCCACGATATTTCTATGTTTAGACGTATTATATATGTTGGACGTATACCGAAGGGGATGACGGGAATGTAATCTGATTTTTTGAAACCACTAGACATATCAACTCGACTTTGATTGATTTTTTTGTTCTGAATTATTATATATATATATATATATATATCATTTACAATGATCATCTCATAAAAAATGATAACGTCAAACCGAACATTTATAAATACCCATCCGTCTGTCTATGTACCTACATCGTCTCGGTTACGTTCGTGTTACGTGTGCGTTACGTCAAAAGCTCTAAGACGCTCTCGTGCATCCGTCCCCCGAGATTTTACCTCATACGTCAATTTAGATTAGACAGCCCTTACGTCGAAGCAGAAATATTGTTTTCCCGTCGTTTTTCTACGAGAGATTCGCTTTTCCGCATGTTTTCTTAACAATTTAAGAATTCATTTGAGAATTGCGGATTTAAGAATATAGTTGGAAAAGTTGGAAGACGTAATTCGACTAGGAATTGTTTGAGGAGAAATTTAATGGACAGGAAACAGATTGTTATAATTTAATAGAGAAGCATAAATTGCTGTTGTGAGTGATAGAAATGAAAGGAATTATATTGTTTTTGATTAGCTTTCTATAAATTCAGAAGGCAATAATGGCTTATAAAATATTTTTTATGGCTTAAAAATACATGAATTTCTCTAAATATTTATTATAAAATCCACACGTTTCGTCTATAGTCCTTGCCTTCATTCAATCTAACTAACATTGAATTTAAAAACTAGAAAAATAAATATTGTGTTCCAAAGCGTGAATGTGTTCTGTAAACATAGTTTTAAATTGTCTAGGGATTTTTTTAAATTATTTTTTTTGCTGTTGAAGTAGTTTTAAATTGTCTAGGATTTTTTTTAATTATTTTTTTTGCTGTTGAAGTCGTTTCATTAAATTTTGGTTAGTTTCATATAAAAGATTCTTAATTAATTAATGGCTTATAAAAGATCTTCTTTCAGTTGAAAAAACATGATTTTTTTTTAAATTATTATAAAATCCACACGTTTCGACTAACTAACATTGAATTTAAAAACTAGAAAAATAAATATTGTGTTCCAAAGCGTTAATGTGTTCTGTAAACATAGTTTTAAATTGTCTAGAATTTTCTTGAATTATTTTTATACTGTTGAATTCGTTTCATTAAATTATGATTAGTTTCTCTAATATAAATTGTATCGCAACTAGAACAATGAATCTGATTGGATGAATCTGACCAAATTTCTAAGACGTTCGATATTAATGGAATTCTTGTTAAATAGTTAAAAAACATGAATTTAAAAAAAAAATATTATAAAATTTACGCGTTGCGACTATAGCCCTTGCCTTAATTCAACAAATATTGAATTTAAAATTTAAAAAAAAAAACAATATTGTATTCCAAAGCGTTAATGTGTTCTATAAACATAGTTTTAAATTGTCTAGGATTTTTTAAATTATTTTTTTACTGTTGAAGTCGTTTCATTAAATTTTGGTTTGTTTCACCAAGTCTGGCCAAATTTTTAAGACGTTCGGTATTAAAAGGAATTTTTGTTTTGATAAAAATAGTGTTAGTCATGATAGTATAATTGTTGAGGAGCTCTGATTTATAAAATAGTTTTTACCAAGAAAAACGAGTTTCTTTAATGGCATCAGTGTGAGTCTTAAAGTCAGGTTAATTTACCATGGTCAGTAGGATTGTTAAGTTTATGTTTTCATTACATTTTATATTAATTTCTCAAAAATATTCATTATATTTTATGTTGATGTGACTGATATATTTGCTAGTTTATTGTTTGCTGCTCGTGTGTTTTTTGTTTAAATTGTTTATGCTCAGAAAATGAGTTATGTGGGGACCAGAAATTTTATTTAAAATTATTTTAAACTTAAATTGATGTTATATTAATAATTTTAATCGGCCTACAAATCATAACACAAAATATGGTATATTGAAAATTTACAGAATATTAAATAAATACAGAGTAAGATTAATATCAAAAATGCACTTAAGTACCACTAAAAATGTGCCAAAACCAATAACATAAATATTAGATAAGTAATGAATTAATACTTAGAGCTTCTTTAAAAAAAACTTCTCTATTACTATGATACATTTTCTATATTCGTGTATAGACTTCTTTAAATTACAGTCTGGCGCAGTACAGATGGATATACTTAAAATAAAAGGAAATTTCCATTAAATCGTTGCAGTAGAGCATTACAATTTAATGTCTCCCATTGTCAGGTCAATTGCCCGACTATTTTCATCGTGTTTTCTACGTCCAAGAGACAACTATATAGATCGAAATATTTTTTTACATTTGCTTACAAACACTTTATAAAGCAATAAAAAATATCTATCAATAATAAAATAAAGCCTTAAGGCGGGTCCTTGAGCTAAGTTAAACTATAAGTTATTCAAAATCATGACTTTATTATACATATTCTAATATTGTCTAGGCTCATAAGTAAATTGAAATTTTTGGCAGGTGACAGTTTTTATTTGTTTTCAATGCCAAACAATGTATAAAATATTTTTAATGTCAAACAATGACATGTCGTTTTTGCATTTTTTTCCATTTATATTGCAGAAAATATTACAATATTTTTATAATGACATCCTAAAAAAAAATTCTCAACAAACTTTAGAAAGGTTTATCAGAATCCGAATAATCGTTTAGGAGGAGTATATTTATATACATCATCAAAGAAGAATTTTATATATAACTAGCTGACCCGACAAACTTTGTTTTGCTAAGTTAGGTATTTTCTAAACAATTTCTAGAGAATCAAAAAAAATAATACTTTATTTTAGGAGTGTAAGGATGTATTGTTTGAATGGTACAGACAATGAGGTATTATAAACACAATAAACCCCAAAGTCTACTGGTATAATAATGAATTATATAATTTATAATAACAATATTCGTTTGTCCATATTTTGTTAATACAATCAAACAGGAAGTTTTATACACTTTCTATAAAAATATGGTATAATTCAATCCAAGTCTTTTTTAGTCTTCAGCGGTGGTCAATGTTCAGTTGGTCATTGTTGCCCCACACAAATGTAAGTTTTTAAAGTTGGTATATAAAGAAAACTGTTAAATCTCACTCAAAATTGACATTACATTTTATAAAACAATTAAATAGTGTATAGTTTATATACTTAATATAAAATTTATATTAAGGTCTCGTGAACTAAATCACAGAGCTCATAATCCAAAAAACTAACAACAAAAGGAAATACTTTAGTTGTGGATTTTCAAAGATTACCGTTTATCTCCCGATAGTAAAGTCATAATAATCAAGGTTATTACTGGTTATACATCTTTTTCCCTCTACTTTCAAATATTGTTGTTAAACAATACTTGACTTTACTGGTTTTTGACACATCGCTGGTGGACCTTTTTAACCCCGGACCTTCATATATTATCTATTTATCACTATCTATTCTTGGATAAATTCTGGGAAATTATAACTGGGAAAATGTTATTCGACAAAATGTCTATTTGATCGATAAAAATTTAGGTTCTGAATCTGAAAATAGCATAAATGAAAAATAATATAACTTAGAAAATGTTTCATAAATACCAATGAATATTTAATTATACAAATGAGATCTTTCCGAGCGCGGTGTTTGAGAAAAATATGCCAAAAAGTGCATTTTGCATATTAACATTTCAAAAAAGTTGATATTTTGAGTTTCTAGTAACACTTACGGCCCGTTTAATAACGTTTTTGTGTATATATAAAACTACAAACAAAACTACTTATTACAATTTGATCATAATTTAATAATATTCACGTAAAATGTCTGTCAAAAACGTTTGACATTTGACGTATTAGCCAGCGTCCATTGTTTCATTTAAATTACGCTTCTACAAAAAATTTTAAATAAAAATATAAAGTTTCTACGCAATTTTGTAATATTATCTCACCTTTCCGACCTTCTCTGGATTGGCACGAATTTTTCAAGACCAAGACTGGCCAAATCGCTTTAGCCGTTTTCGAGTTTTACCGAATCATTTGATCGAGAGCTCCATTTTATACAGAAGTTCTATGACGGCGGTTTTTGTTCAATCCTGAACAATGCAATGCATTTTCCGAATATCTGCGACTTTTAATGCCATTTTTATTGATTTTATTATTTTTATAATTATTAATTTTTTTTCTATTTTTTCCTCCAGTGATACGGCGAGTGCGACGTTTTCCCAGGAGACTCTGCAGTCGCTGCGGCTGCCCGCCTTCGACAGCTACGCCTGGTCGGACGAGCAGCTGCTGCTCCTGCTCCACGGAATGTTCACGGAATTGGAATTGACTTCAACGTTTCGGATAAAGGATGCCGTTCTTCGCCAGTTTTTGTACGAGGTCTATAAGCATTACAACGAGGTGCCGTTTCATAACTTTCGGCACTGCTTCTGCGTCGCACAAATGGTAAGGGGAAATAGGAAATCATCATAGGATATCAAATAGTAAATCCTCAAACTTAATTTTTTATGCTTCCGTATTACTGTGCTTATGCTTTCTATTCTCTGTTTTCATTCAGTTCATTCAGTCTTTCTATTATTTCTTCTGCCAGCAGAAGGACCCGATGTGCTTAGTTTTTTCCAAACATTAGAATACTTTTTTCTTCCTTCATACTGTCCACAGTACGTCTTGAATTAATTATTTGCCTTGTTCAGAATTATACAATTTTATTAGTTTCTTCCCTGCAGAGTCTTTATTTTATACCCAAAGTGTAATGCTACTTCCAGAACATTCAAGGATTTTTTCTTTGTACGTTGAGATTCAGATTGCTCTTTAGTATAGTTATTTTGCACCTTTTATTTTCCATATTTTATTGGTCTTGATTGATCCTGACAAAAATACCAATCTTTGATAATAGTGATGGTCCACAATCTTTGATTTGTCACTACTGATATTTTATCAAAATTTTCTGAGGTTCTAATAATAAATAATCCTTTTTCAAAAATCTCATCATTCATTAACTTCCCGTAGGGTAAGTTATTACAATCGTCCAAAAATCGAAATTGAAAATTTTTACATTTCTTCACGTATCAGAGGTTTCTGAACATTTTAGCATACCTTAGAAATGTGTATGTGTGTATTCGTATGTGTGTGTGCGTATACAAATTTTCGTCGACGATTTCGGGAACACGTATCAACCGATTTGAATAATTCGATTCGTATTGATAAGAAGGCAGTTCTAGCCGTTTCGAAGATACGGAGCAAAAAGTGCAGAAAATGGCACGTTCTAAGAGAACAAATGGGCTGATTTGAATGATTCAAAAAACATTCGATTCGTATTGATATGGAGACGCAATGATTAGTTTTTAGTATAGGCAGGACAAGCCGTTTCGAAGATATAGAGCAAAAAATGCAGAAATTCCGATTAGATCCTAGACATAGCGATATGCGTGAGCATGTCGTTGTAGCTCAGTTGGTTAAGTTTCATAAGTAATATCAAAATAGAAATTTACCGGTATTACGGAGGACTCTATCATAGAATATTTAGCGAAAAAATATAAAATTAATTGAAAAATCAAATAAATTTTGATATTATTTACACGTGAAATTATAAATATCAAATAAAAAAAAAATAAAAAAAATATATCTGAATCGGGAATTGAACCCCGGAGCAAAAATTAGTATTCCACGACGATAGCCACTCGGCCAACCTGCTGTTGATAAGGAAAAACATCGCAAGCTATGCATGCCGCGCGCGGCTACAATGCAAACCTTAATTAATTTTTATAATTAAACCGCTTTTCATAGGCCTCTAATATTTTACCACGGTCAGTTTGGGCATCAAATCTACCATTGTGCCAAGTTTCATCAAAATCCGAGACGAGCAACGCGCGGGTTCTCCTTTTTAGTCGATAAGAAAGTCAAGACTGATCGGGTTCGAAACCCACGTCTGCAATATTTTTTAAATTTTTTTTAATACTTTTTTGTGTTTGTATAGTTGATACTACATGAGCTATTTCAAATTGTTAACTCAGTGCATATATTTCGAGAACAAAAAGATGATGCATTTAAAATAAAATATGTTCATTCTTACAATAAGCCCACTTAATTAGATTTTGCTTATATATATTTCATTCAAACATATATAAACAACGTCGTCTAATCTAATAAGTTTTCACGTTTTGTCTACAAGGAACAAATAATGAAAATTCTAGTTTTTATAATATTTATTCATAGACATTTTTGTTGACTGATTATTTTTATTCTTCGAATGTTTAATTACGGTACGGGAAGTTCCAGCAATTTTCCTTAAAGCACGATGCCATACACCACTATTTTTTTCTTTTTTTTCTCAGATGTACTCGATGGCCTGGAAAGTTGATCTCATATCCCGATTGGGCCACCTGGAAGTCCTAGTCCTTCTAGTTTCTTGCATTTGCCACGACTTGGATCACCCCGGTTATAATAATATTTATCAAATAAATGCCAGGACGGAATTGGCCATTAGGTAAGATAAAAGATCATAATATATACAGAATATATTTTACATTATGCATTTATCGTTATAGATATAACGATATTTCGCCCTTGGAAAATCATCATTGCTCTGTAGCATTTAGGATATTAGAGTTAGCTGAATGTAATATATTAGAAGGACTTCCATCGGATACTTATAGGTAAGTAATGGACAAATACTTAATTTGATTGTCGTATTTATATTTTTTCATTGTTATTTTTTTTTCTATCAAGGCAAGTTCGAGAGGGCATCATTCGATGTATCTTGGCAACGGATATGGCAAGGCACAATGAAATCTTAGCCCAGTTTCGGGACGTCACACCTTGTTTTGATTATGATAATAAAACACACACAAATCTGGTAGGTACTGGTAATACATAAATTATTTTTAGTATTATTTACGCATATATTATAAAAAAAAATTTCTTATTTTAGTTATCGATGGTGATGATCAAAGTGGCAGATATATCGAATGAAGCTCGACCAATAGATGTTGCCGAACCTTGGCTGGATAGGCTATTACAGGTAAACTTTTAGTTTTAATTACTTGTTATTTTTTGAATTATTGACAATGAAAATACTATCCTTTATTTTGTACTTTTTTTTATTTAAATTTACGTGATTATTCATTATTGTTACTAGATGTTAAATTATTTAGCAGTTGTAACAAATATTGTAATTAAAAAAAACTAGTGGGGCGCATGGCATCGTGCCTTAAGGCAAATTGCTGGAACTACAAAAAAAATTTTTTTTTTTAAAGATTAACATTTTTGAAAAAAATTTACTCTGAAAAAATTAGATTTTTGAGAAACTATAAATTTTTGTCAAAAATTTACTTTACAAAAAAAAAACTTTTTGAAGAAAAATTTATTTTTAAATATTTTGGAAATTCCGAACTTTTTTTCAAAGCAATCGTACTGCTTTAACTACATAGAGACGAAATATCGAAGCGCGTAAGCGCCGCGCCGCCGTCTAACGGATAAACATTGGTACGGAACTGATAGGAAAGTAAACAAAATTCATACTTATTGTAAAAATCTATAAAATATCTGATAATTTGATGTGCATATGTCTAATGATCATTTTTGACCGCCAGATGGCATTTTTTTTTACTTTTTTTATTAGATCTCCGAAACCGATAGACCTGCCTTTATGAAAATATGAACAGTTCTTCATCTTGTTAATACAAGTAAAATGTTTGAACGGCTAGACCTGCCTTCGCCAAAAACTAATCTACACGTCGTCTTATCAATACGCATCGAATGCTTTTTGAATTATTAAAATCGCTTCATCCGTGTTCCCGAAATCGTCGACGAAAATTTGTATCCGAACACACACACACGCACACACACACATCCATTTTTTCTAAGGTATGCTAAAATATTCAGAAACCTCTGAAACGTAAAGATATATAAAAATTTTCATTTTCGATTTTTTTGCGATTACTATTACTTGCCCTACGGGAAGTTAATAAAAAAGATTGGCATGCCGTGTGTGTGTGCGTGTGTGTGTATTCGGATACAAATTTTCGTCGAAGATACAGGGCAAAAAGTGCCAAAAAGAGCAGAGCGCCCGATTTGAATGATTCAGAAACCATTTTATTTGTATTAACAAAATGAAGAACTGATGGAATTTTTGGGAACACAGGTCTAGCGGTTTCGGAGATACAATAAAAAAGTGAAATAAATGCCATTTAACGGACAAAAATGATCATTAGACATATGCACATCGAATTATCACATTTTTTATAGATATTTTGATAATAAGAACAAATTTTGTTTACTTTTCTATGGGTTCTGTACCAATATTTATCCGTAATACTGAAAAGCGGCGCCCACGCTTCGATATTTCGTTTCTACGCAGTTAGCGTATTGCGATTGCTTTGAAAAAGAAGGTTCAAAATTCCCAAAAAGTTAAATGTATAAAAAATCGAATTTTTCAAAAAAGTCAATTATTTTCAAAAGTTTTAAAAATCTCAAAATCTCTAAAAGAAAATTGAATTTTTTTTAAAAATTTTAACTTTTGGTACGGGAAGTTTTCAGCAATTTGCTCTAAGGCACGATGCCATGCACCACTAGTTCAATTTCCATTTAATGTTTTTCTAGGAATTTTTTGCTCAAAGTGCTGCAGAAAAACAGGAAGGTCTTCCCGTAACGCCTTTTATGGATCCTGATAAAGTCAGCAAGCCTTCAAGTCAAGTCAGGTTTATCGGACTTGTGTTATTACCTTTGTTTGAAGCTTTGGGTGAACACATGCCAGAATTACAGGTAAATAAGATCATATATACTATTTTTTATAGCAAACTAAATTTAATTAATAAATCATTTACCAGGATTTGATCGTCCAACCCGTTCGAGACGCTCTAGAGTATTACCGACGACTAAACGAAGCAACAAGAGAAGGCAGGTCTAGAAAATCTCTAGGAGATGGCTTAGAACCCGCAAACGCTTCCCAAAGCATCCACTCCCCCACAGGTTCTCAAACAGGCCCACAGACCACTCACAACGTCCGATCAAGGTAAGTCTGCTCCACAAGAGCAACGCACCAATAGAAAATCTAACATCAGATTCATTCCAGGCGCAGTTTGGTTCCAAGAATGTCTTTGTCGATATCTCGAAGCACCGAGACTCACATAGATGACAATCAAGTTATAACAATCGATCCTGCCAGCAAGACTGTCACTCCTGAGATGGCTCAGGATCACCATATTCCTTCGACTCATGATATAGAGAGATTTATGAAAAACAGGAGGATGGATGAAGGTGATGAAATTGATGCAGATGATGGTAGGGAAGGAGCAGATGATGATGATTTTGAGGAGAACGATAGCGGGGACTCGGAGACTGCGACGGAAGTCGAGGTTTCGGAGAAGACTTTGAAGTTCAAGATTGCTACGGAGGGCGGTGGTAGCAGTATGGATAGGAGAAACAGTAGGATTGGGTAAGAGATTAATATTAATAACTAGATGACCCGACAGACTTTGTCCTGTACCTTTGTCTACATTTTTTTAATATAATATACTAATATTTACAGTTTACCTAAGAATAATAATTATTGTTTTTTAAATTACTCTTCACGCCAAAATGCATATACATTTATAATATGAGCGATGTTGAATGTAGAACAACTTTAAATAAAATTATGAGACTCAATTCCCACACTATATTAGAAATTGAAGTCTTTTAAACGGTATAACATAACCATAACCATAACATAACACTGGTACTTCATGTTGGATTAAATTAATTTAATTTCTTATTATTCAAGATATCCAAAATTGCATCTTAAACTTCTCCTAATCGATATCGTGAGGGCCGAATTGTATGTATTCATTTTTACTTTCCCATTTGTTGTTATAAAGTGAAATTTTTACGAATTTTAAAAATATTGTGGAAAGATTAGTAAAAGATGCTAAGAAATTATATACTAAAAAATCTATATTGAAAATTTAATATCCGAATCTTGCGTTTGCGCCCCCTAAGGCGTGCGCTCGTATTTTTCGCATGCATCGCGTTAAAGGTAGGACCGGCCCTGATTATTATTTAATTTTATATTTCAAGTGAATTAATTTGTCATATCTTGTTCATATGTGTATCATTCAATCTGCCTATTCCATTTATTTTAATTTCTGGCACATTTCAGCTGCTTTTGGCAATAATAATGTAGACATTTCATTTTTCTTATTCATAATCATAAATTTATTATACAAATTCTAATATTGTCTAGGTTCATAAGTAAATTTAAATTTTTGGCAGATGATAGTTTTCATTTGTTTTCAATGCAAACAATGACATGCCGTTTTTTGCATTTTCTTCCATTTATTTCCACAATATTGCACATACATCCTAGAAAATTTCCTTAACAAACTTCAGAAAGATTTATCAAAATCCGAATAATCGTTTAGGAGGAGTTTACAGTGGGTGCTTGTGGTTTAATATAAACTTTATATAATAGCACTAAAGCTCAAATTGATTCTAAGTTTTAGTTGAAAAACGTTTGTATGTGAAAAAGAAAAAGTCTGTTTTTAGGGTTTTTCCGGCAATTATTCGATTTTGTCTCGCCGTAAGAACCATTCTTGGACTTCGACAAACATTTAAAAAAAAGAATTGGCCAATTTGTTGAGTTATGCGCTTACCAACACATTTTGCGATTCATTTTTATATGTATATAAGATTTGATCGATGTTTTATAATTATCATTTGCTTTATTTCAGTATCCCATCGCGTAAAAACAGCCATGAGCGTTGTACTCTAAGCCATGCGTTCGGAAATGCATCTTATTCTTTGGATTTACAAAAATATGACTATCGAAGAGGCTCTTTGGGGCCCAGTTCTTCAGGAGGCAGTCTCGGAAACTTTTGTTCAAACTGCCAGACTTTGGAAAATACTAACAGATGCTGCAGGTAATAAAATATCAGCGACTAAGTAACTTATTTTTTAACTATTAGTCATTGTAATCGTTCAAAAATCAAATTTTAAAATTTTTACATGTCTTTGCGGTTTGAAAGTTTCTGAACATTTTGGCACTCGATTTCTATTGATATGGAGTTGTGCTGATTAGTTTTTGGCAAAGGCAGGTCCAGACGTTACACAGATACGGAGCAAAGAGTGCAGAAAATACAAATCGAGTTGTTGAGAGAACGGAGCATCCGATTTGAATGATCTAAAAAAAAATCAATTTGTAATGATTGGGAGAAGTGGTGATTAGTTTATGGCAAAAGCAGGTCCAACCGTTTTGGAAATATAGACCTAAATATGCAAAAAATGGCAGTTTTTGAGAGAATTAAGCATCCGATGTGAATGATTCAAAAAACTTACTGCTTGTGTTGGCAAAACAATTGCTTTTGGAAACAAAATTATTAACTTCCCGAAGGAGAAGTTCATGTTTTCATCAAAAAATCCGATTTGCTAATTTTATGTTTTCTCAACGTTTCAAGTCATTCTGAATCGAATGAGACCAACATTTGGAAAAAGTATATGTGTGTGTGTGAACAGATTTTTGCCGTAAATCGATGTTTTCTCAAAACCTGCTTGACCAATTTCAAAAATTTAAAAGTCAATCGATGTATCTCGATGATGTCTAGCGTTTATCAATTTTGCGCGACGATCAACCAAGCCGTTTCTTTGTGAATAGCAGAAAAGTGAAAATTTTTTTGTCCACGTTTTAGTCCGCAATTCTGAATCGATTTTGAAAATTCAAAAACCGTTCGAAAGATATTGGTTGAGAATCGACCTGATTAGTTTTTGGAAAAGATCGGCCGGGCCCTTTCCTTGTAATAAAGTGTTAAAAAAATTTTTTGGCGATTTTTATGAATATTTTTTTGATGTTAGATACCATAGGGTTTCAAAAATTTAAAAACTAATCGATGTATCTCGATGTGGATTATCTTTTCTTAGTTTTGTGTGACGATCGGCCGAGCCGTTTCTTTGTAAATAGCAAATTTTGTCAAAGTTTTAGCTCTCAAATCTGAATCGATTTTAAAAAATAAAAAACTTTTCGAAAGATATTGGTTGAGAATGATGCTGATTAGTTTTGGGTAAAAATCTACCGAGCCGTTTTCTTGTAATTAACTGTTGAAAAAAAAATTATAGCCGATTTTCATGGAACTTTTTTGGCAATAGATATCATGGTCTTACAAAACATATAGTTTAATGACATAACATACAAATAGTTTAATGTTAAAAACTCATCAAAGTTTGAAACAATTATACAGTCAAAATTTATGTCAAAAGTTGCTTTTGTGATGTGATGAGTCAAACATTATCAATTCATTTAAATTTAAAATAATAAGCTACAATTTTAGGCCATACAAGCACGTAATAATCAATATAATTACAGTTAATATAAATTTGTTTGAGATAATTCTATTCGAAATGGCAATTCTATTCGTAATTGAAAACGATAGCGAAACAGTTAATAATTTCATTTAAATATCTGAATTTCAATATCGATTAAATCAATTCTTACACATTTCAGGAAGTTCATGCAACTTGCCTCAAGGCTAAATGCCACTTTCAACTAATTTAATTTTATTTTTTAGGGTTGCTCGTAATAGTGACGGCAGTGTAAGATCACCTTGCAGCGATACTTGTCAAAGATCTCAAGGTTCAGCAGGATCTCATTCTGTTCGACAGATAAGTGAAGAATTTGAACCAGAAACTGAGGAAGACCAGAAAGGATCAGACTCGATAAAGCAAACTAAATCACCAGATCAAACTGATACTAAAGCAAACTTATCGACGTCTAATGATCAACAAAGTGTCGTCCAGGTTCCAAAAGATGTGGAAACTAAATTAGAATCTAATGATGATAAATCTCAGGACCAACAACAGGCTTTATCACCAAATCCTGATGATTCCCCAACCAAACAAAATTTTGATGAGATAACTATCGATAAGACTATACCTGTAAAACAAGAACTGATCCAGCAGCAACCAGCACCACCACGAAGTCTTTTTGCACGTCTAAAAAATTTCACAGACCGCCTAAGTCTAAGTTTCGATAAACAATACACAAGTCGCAATAACAATACGAGTGATGATGTTTTTCGAGAAAACAATCTAACAGCAACCAGGGCATCGACTTTACCCAAAAGCAAACGTGTCGAGGCGAGAAAGACTTGGAAAATTTTAATGTATAATAAAGATAGAAACACGACGAATAGTATAGACGTGTTGACTGATGTCGTTGATAATAATCAGTCGAAGGATAATAAAGAAAAGGTGGAAATTTGACAAAGAACCAGTTTGGATGATGCTTTTGATGATCGGAGTGGCTTTGGTTATATATTCTGTAGGTGCTGTTCGAATAGAAGAACTATGCCAGTGGACACGGTGTAAAGGGATAAAAGAAACATTTAGGTAACTCGAATGTAACAAAATTACTTTACGTTTTTTTAAAAAAATTTATTACGTACAGTTTTAGTATTTGCTAAGTTGCCGTTCCTGGTGGAAAAAGTATGCCAAATTTTGTACATACTAATTAAAACGTAACATTGTCGTTAATTATGCGCAACATCTTTTTACATAAAATTGAATGCTATCAAAATATTTAAGCAAACTTTTGTTAAAAAACAAGTGTTATGAATGGGTCATCATCTGTACAAAAGTTTGCCTAAATGTTTTGAACAAACTAATGCTTATATTTCAACATACTCGGAAAAACGTAACAGTAACGTTAATTATGTGAAACATTACGTAAATGTTATGTAATCTTGTATATTACATTTCTAATTTCAATCAAATAAACGTGACAGCAGTCAATAAAGAAAATCCCAGTTATTAAAAGGAGAGGAAAAAAGGGTATAACCTCGGAATTTTTTTACTGTGCTCCAATTTGCATGAAATTTTGGAATTAGGAAAGTGAAAACAATGCGAAGGAGGGGATGACACCCCTTCTCAGTTGTGTAATTATATTTTTTTCAAAATAATGTCAGATATCAATAGAAGAACTAATTATAAGAAAAAAAGTCTTTTAAAGTTTTTCAAACAAACTAATACGTTTCTAAAGTATTACTACTAAATTATGCCAAATTTTGTACATGCTATCAAAAACGTAACATTGATGTTAATTATGCGCAACATCTTCTTACGTAAAATTGAATCCTATCAAAACATTTAAGCAAACTTTTGTTAGAAACAAGTGTTATGAATGGGTCATCATTTATACAAAAGTTTGCTTAAATGTTTTGAACAAACTAATGCTTTTATTTCAACATACTAGGAGAATCGTAACTGCAACGTTAATTATGTGAAACATTACGTAAGTGTTACGTAATCTTGTGTGTTACATTTCTAATTTCAATAACACAAACGTGACAGCAGTCAATAAAGAAGATCCTAATTACTAAACGGAGAGGAAAAAAGGGTATAACCTCGGAATTTTTTTACTGTGCTCCAATTTGCATGAAATTTTGGAATTAGGTTAAAATTACACTCAAACACTCTTTAAACAATCATAACTCTGACAATTTTTGTGTGAAAGCAAAATAATAAAAAACAATAATAAGCCAGAAAGAGCCCTTTGATTTTTATCTATATGCTTTTCTACGTATCTATTATTCTTTTTGAGATATAATGAAAATAAGTTGAATTTTTTTATGAAAATCGGGAAAAAATGTTTTTATAAAATCGTGAGTTTTCTGAAAATAGTCTGTACTAAAGTCGTGAATCTGTTAGAATCCATCAAGATTTTTATAATGATGTGAATTCTAGATGGAATATTAATAATTTTAATTTTGGTGGAAATGGCGCCTATTAAACCATATGATTTTAAAGGAAAAAACATAGTATATGCTTCTTATTTGCATGATATCTCACTCATTTTACACGCAAAAAACTTGTGAAAGCACTCATTTTAAAGCTTATGTTGAGCACTATAAAACCCAATTTTACTGAAAATAAAATAAAATGTCTGAATTGTTTTCACTTTTGAACTTGAGAGTAAGATAAACCTAATTCCAAAATTTCATACAAATTAGAGCACAGTAAAAAAATTCAGACCCAAAATGCTCCATTAACTGGAGTAAATATAAATATATATTTTTATGAATCTTTATGCTTTTTTCTACTTCACCATGAAAATAAATTTGGGATAAATACTTTATCAGAATGTTATTCTTTGTAATCGATTTATCAAATAATTATTTGATAAACAAGATATATATATGAATAGGATATATATTATTATTATTATTGTTTAGCCAATTGTATATAGATCAACATATATGTCAATTTTTATAGTTAGTCTTTATGTAAATATGATTATTCTTCGAGAAAAAATTTAATTCGAATGTGCTTCAATGTAAATTAATTAAATTTAACTTGAATAATTATTAATAAACGTAAAAATCTTATGACAAATTGAATGAACATATACAAATGATTTGTTCAATATACTGTAAAAGAATTTTAGATTTAGATGTTTAAGTGTATTATATAATTAAATGTGCATACTAATATTAATATATATAATTGTGGCATATAAATGAATTTTCTGTATGTGTGTGCAAGTGTAATTACACTGTAATTTAAAAATCATAAATAATATATTATTATCATTTAAGAATCCATAAATGTTAATAAATAAATGTGACATCGAGAAGAAATTAATATACAAATTAATTAAATCAATAACGGGGAACATTTGTATATGTATGTTTAGGCTTTTAAATGTATTAAGATTTAATGTATAAAAGAAATATGATTAAATATATATAAAAAATCAATTTTTAATCGATTTATTCTATTAAAAAATGATTTTTTATATATGTTACAATGTACCTATAGCTTTAACTGTTTAGAAAAAATCTTCCTATCAACAATTTGACAAATATTATTATATATCTCTAAATTTAATTAATGCATTTGGAATTCTCGAAACGAGGATTAGAATGTTGTCGAAGGATCAAATATGTTACTATGTCAATTCTTAAAATTAAAATATAAAATAGATACAAATTAAATAATTATGCAAAACAATTATACACATCACTTCAATTAATGGATGTATGATGTTGGATTGATTCGATAGGGCCAAATATATAAAATATTAAAAGATACATAAAATTTGGATAAACATTAAATATTATATCAATAAATCTATTTGGCACTATAGAATCAAATCAATAATGTACTACAAAAGAAACTATTTTTACATATCAATGTACTTTTACTGAGGAATAATTTATCACTGAGATGGTCCAATATTTATATTTATAAAAATATCATCGATTTACCCTTACGCTTGGTTTTATAAAATATTTAATCAGAACAAAAGGCTTTTAACCGATGGGTCTAGATTTATTTATTTATATATAATTTTTATAATTTAATGTGTGATCAGCATTTATTTAAAATAAGTTTCTATATTTCTATGATGTTTATATAGGGTAATCCAAAAAATATATGTCATGTAATGAAAATATATGTAAAAAATTCAAGCAATGCACAACTCTACAATGTATCTCAAATTATATAGATGAACATAAAGTCTTATTCTATATTTGGGACTTTTAATAATGGGAAAGAGACATATTTTACAGGACTAAGATTTTGGTGCAAGTGTTATTATAAAATTGTGACAAAGGTTTACATCGGTGTCAGTGGTTGTAATCTTTTACGGTTAACCAAGTTTATAAAATACTTTTGGAGCAATTTATTGTTACTTACAAATATATGTAAAATTGATAGTGAAATTGATTGAATATAAATGATAAAGTTTATCAAATTATAATGAGTTATATGCTTAAATTATTTGTATATCACTTACTTTTGAGTTCAGCTTGAGTTTGCACAAGATTTTGCAGATTCTGGAACAAATTGTCTAAAAACAATAATATCAAATGCACACAAACCACTAAGCAATAAAGTAATATATATCTTATATTTATTTATTTCGTTTTTAACTTAAAATAAAACATTTTATGTAAAGCGTTTTATGTATTTAACAACCATTTTAACAACTTGTTCCCTTCATGTTGTGCAACTGTCAAATAAAATTGTGCAATTTTTGATTCAACTATATATTTTCTTAGAATTGGAAAATTGTATAAAAAAATGAATGATTTAAATATTTATTTGTTCTACATATTAAATAAATCTATAAAACAAATATGAAAACAAATTAAATAAATTTTGTTCAAATTTTGAATTTATATTGCGGTGGCAACACTGTTTTTGACGTTTAACTTCGCACGAAGGAAAAACGTTTCAGTAATGGACGACACCTGTCAGTGAACGTTAGATATAAAATAAAGTTGAATTAAGTGTTTTTATTTAACGATAATAGAATCTAATGTTGTTTTAAGTGTTTAATTGAAGTGTTGCACCTGGACATAATGTTAGTGTTGAAATTAAACGTCAAGCATGTAAGTAATATACAAAATTACATCTTGAATACAATTTCAGTTGTGTAAGTGTTTTGATATAAATTACTTTTTTGTAGCAGGATTGACGTTATGGAAAGTATGTGGTATTTGTCACTGTATAAACAACAACGCTCACAAGGTAAGTCTTTTAGTTTTTATATTTATAACAATTGTAATATCGAGATGTCAAAGATTATTTTGTATTATTCTTTATTTGGATTTCTTGCACAACGTTTTAAAGTACAATCCTTATACGAAGTTGGGACAAAAAGTACTTTCTGGTTGTCATGTTAAACAATAATTAATTGGTATCGATGAATTTGAACTCTAATTTCTGATCTGCTATTGTTAGTCAGGTGTGATGTTTAGGTTTTATATTTGTAATAATTATAATATCGAGATGCCAAAGATTATCCTTACTATTCTCCATTTGAATTTTTTTACCCTACATCTTGTAGTACAATTCCTTTTCGATGTTGGGACAAAATGTACTTTCCAGTTGTCACGTTGAACAATGGTTATTTGTGGTATCGATGAATACGAGTTATAGTTTTGTGATCTGATATTTTAAGGCTGGTATGATATTTAGTTTTTATATTTATAATACTTATAATATCGAGATGTCAGAGATTATCCTCTTTATTCCCCATTTGAAATTTTTTACCCTACACCTTGTAGTACAATTCTTATTTGATGTTGGGGCAAAATGTACTTTCCAGTTGTCACGTTAAACAATATTTATTTGTGGTATCGATGAATACGAGTTATAGTTTTGTGATCTGCTATTGTAAGGCAGGTTTGATGTTTAATTTTTATATTTATAATAAATATAGTATTGAGATGTCAGAGATTATTCTGTATTATTCCCCTTTTGGAATTTTTACACAACGTCTTGTAGTACATTCTTATTCGATGTTGGGGCAAAATGTACTTTCCAGTTGTCACATTAAACAATATTTATTTGTGGTATCGATGAATACGAGTTATAGTTTTGTGATCTGCTATTGATATGTTTATGATGATTATAATATCGAGACATCAATGATTATTTTTCAATTGGATTTGGAGTCTTGCCTCGCAATGCTTATTCTATATTGGAAGCCAAAAATTTGCTATATTTTTATATATCTGTGAGTATGAACTATAAATTGTGATCAGGCATTGTTATACATGGTTATATAGTTAGTTTTCAATAGTATCGATAAATTTAAATAATATGGGCTAATTTTCTTACTCTCCGGAGTATTCACTTTCTGAAGAGGGCTGCTTTACAGGCTAAATTACTAAGTATTTTTGGTTGTATCGAAGGCCTTTTTACAGGCTAAATTACTAAGTATTTTTGGTTGTATCGAGGGCCTTTTTACAGGCTAAATTACTAAGTATTTTTGGTTGTATCGAGGGCCTTTTTACAGGCTAAATTACTAAGTATTTTTGGTTGTATCGAAGGCCTTTTTACAGGCTAAATTACTAAGTATTTTTGGTTGTATCGAAGGTCTTTTTACAGGCTAAATTACTAAGTATTTTTGGTTATATCGAAGGCCTTTTTACAAGCTAAATTACTAAGAATTTTTGGTTGTATCGAAGGCCTTTTTACAGGCTAAATTACTAAGTATTTTTGGTTAAGAGCAAATTATGTCATCTGTTTGTATTTAGACCTTATATATCTATTATTTTAGCATCTTCGATAAGCAAACTTCTACTTTGCTTGATATTATTTTACATTATTTTGGTAATCATGATATTGAGACATCAAACTATTTTTATGAAACTCATGATATCAACTGGAAGTAATTTTGTATGGTCTTTTGACAATTCTTCATTCATTTTGTTCTCATGCTTCGAACAGCGAATAAGAACTTCTGAACTATTTTAATGATACTTTTCAATCAGAAGGCTTTTTATTCTTTTTTTGGTAGTCTTTACTATATTTGATTTTCTTTTATTACTATAATTTTTAATGCCCGGGAAGAGCTAGTTTCACTAGAACACATATTTTATCTACTGGATAAGAAATTTTATATTGATAACTTAAGAGTTCTATGAGCTGTTGTAAATATACTTTCAAACAGTTGTCTTATTTATATTTGATTTATTTTTACTATTATAATTTATCTACTGGACAAGTAATCGGGTTTGGTCTTATCTTGCAATTCTTGTTCGATGTTGAAATAGAAAATATTATAAAGTTGAATATTATCTAATTAAAGATATCTATGAAAATGAGCTATCAATTTCTTTTCTGACATTATTTGTCATCTTTATGAGCTCTTTTTGAGTTAAAACAATGCTTGGTAGATTTTCTTCAAAATTTTGTTTATAAAAATCAATAATGTTTAAATTCTCTTCATGAAGTCTTCACTTTCTGAAGAACGTCTTGAGCTATATAATTTCACACAAAATACATAATTGACTAATTTGTTTTCATTATAATGACAAACTCGAAATCTTTTTATCTATTATTATATTTTTATATCTATTATCATTTCATTATTAAAACACCAATTTGTATAAAATTTCAATTTTAATTATTAAAATATTATTACATCACATAAAAACTTGTTCAAAAATTACAAACGCGCTACATATATAAACATGCCTTACAAAATGCTACCGATATAAACATTCTCATAAAATGCAAATTTGTATAAATCTATTTATATATCTAACTTGTACAAAAACTTTTTCAGAAAACTTTCAAAGTCTCTTGAAAAAACTCAATTAAAAATATAATCTAACTAGTATTGAAATATAATACCCTAATAGTAATAATACTTCACATATCGGAGACTGTAAAGATTGGCCAATTGTGAAAGATTTTTGTAGAGAATTTGGTGAATTTAATTTTGATAGTCTCTTGTGGAGGTTTTATCAGTCGCAGATAATTATGGCTTTGGTAATATATATATATATATATATATATATATATATATATATATATATATATATATATATATATATAATATGCATATTTAATACAATAATCTTGATCAAAATTATTTCAATCAATAGTATAACAATTATTATAGAAGACTTTAAAAATGCAATTTAATTGCAATATATTCGAACAACGTCGTTTACTCTTGCAAATTACATAGTAATTTACACATTACATTAAATATAAAATCTACTAAGCAACAATTATAAATTCGATATGTATACAAAAATATTCAATCGAACTTGAGAATGGGTAATAAAGCTATGCTAATAGTCATTATTGGATTGGTAATTATCTATATATTTATAGTTGTCGTTAAAACAAAGTACAACAAATGTTTTAGGAAAAATATATCGTTGAAATTGTTCTCTAATATTCGAGTTGCTTTATATACAATGTTCATCTTTGTCGTTTGATGAATCCTTTGTCGTCAACTGTTCTACGTATTGTCCAAGGAATCCGAGCCTAAGGAAAAAATAATATTATATTATTTATTATTATTTATTATTAACTTCCCGAAGGAGAAGTTTGTTTTCATCAAAAAATCCGATTCGCTAATTTTATGAAGCTAATCGAATGAGACCGAATTTGGAAAAAGTATGTGTGTGCGTGTATGTGAACAGATTTTTGCCGTAAATCGCCGTTTTCTCAAAAAACGGCTGGACCGATTTCAAAAATTTAAAAGCCATTCGATGTATATCGATGAGGACTATTGTTTGTCAGTTCTGTGCGACGATCGGCCAAGCCGTTTCTTCGTAAATAGCAGAAAAGTGAAAAGTTTTTCGTCCACGTTTTAGCCCACAATTCTAAATCGATTTTGAAAATTCAAAAATCGTTCGAAAGATATTGGTTGGAAATCGACCTGATTAGTTTTTGGTAGAGATCGGCCGGGCCGTTTTCTTGTAATAAGGTGTTAACAAAATTTTTTTCGTCGATTTTTATTATTATTTTTTTACGGTAGATACCATAGTCTTCTAGATCATACTAAAATATAACGGCCCTACGACAACTCGTTTAGCTTTCAAAATTCGTCAAAGTTTGCAAAAATTAGTATAATCTTTTTGGCATTTCATCGACGTTTGCTCAAAAACGCCTGAACCGATTTCAGAAATTTAAAAACCATTTGATGTATCTCGATGAGGATTATCGTTTCTCAGTTTTGTGCGACGATCGGCCGAGCCGTTTCTTTATAATTTGGAAAAAAGTGTTAAACATTTCGTCCACATTTAAGCTCATACTACCGAACCGATTTTAAATAATCAAAAACTGTTCGAAAGATATTAGTTGGGAATGGTACTGATTAGTTTTAGGTGAAAATCTACCGAGCCGTTTTCTTGTAATTAACTGTTGAAAAAAAATTAAGCTGATTTTCATGGAACTTTTTTGGGCGATATACAAGTATCATGGTCTTATAGAACTTACTGAAATATTACGGCCTTACGACAAGTAGTTTAATTTTAAAAATTCATCAAAGTTTGAGAAAATGAGTAGTTCCTTTGACATTTGTTAAAATTAAAATTAGACGATTTACTTGGTATAACAATAGAGTACTTGGTCTTAATGAACATACTAGACAATTAAAGTCCTACAAAAAACTGGCTCAATTATTAAAATTATTGATTTTTGAAAATTTGCTTTTAAAAAATACTCCGACCGGGTTGACGTGTTCGATTTTCAATAATGTTTAATAAATCCACTTCTAATACTTTTAACTACTCATAAATTAATTTATTTTTTATTGATTTAATCTATTATTTACACAAATCGGGAAGTTCATGTAACTTGTCTCAAGGCAAAAAACCAATACCAACTAGTTATTTATTCATTATATGTCCATTTACCTCTGTCCCATCTTAACTCTGTCTCCCGGTTTCAAAGCAAACTTAAAGTTAGCTGGTGCCTCGAAAACGAGCACAATGGTCGATCCCATATTGAAATGTCCTATCAGCTCCCCTTTTCCAAATCGAATTTCACTCTTGATATTGCATTCGTTGCAATGTTCTCGTGGAGGTGGTTCATTGATTTTTGGTCGATTTTTTAAAGTCGGTAACGTCGAACGCCAACCTCTCCATCGGTTTGTGGATAAAGTTTCATCGGCGTAGACTTTTACTGACCCCACATTTGTAGCACCTGGGGGATAAAGGACAAGTGGTATTAATAAGTGAAATGAGGCAGGTGTAAATTAAGGTACTGAGGATATTTTGGGAAAAGTAATGTGACATAAATTCAAAAAGCACGATTTTTTGAGAAATTTTGTACCTAAGGTCATAAATTGAGTTATCAAGGTTCTAAAATATATGAAATGTTCTAATATGTGTTTGATAGGGGTCTATAGGTCCTAAATAGTAACTAACAAGTACATATAGGTCTAAATAAGGTTTATTTTTTTGACTCGGACAATCACTCAAATTTAATCACCAATTAAAAAGATTCGACTTCAACAGATTGACAGACTTGATGGCAATTAAAAATAAATACAACAAATATGTAGAGTTCTCAGAAATAAATTGAGGAAAACCAAATAATGGAGAATTGGGAAATACATTCATAAACTATTAAAGAAATTTATTTTTTATTTCACTTATCAGAACCAGAACAGACTAAATTCTTAAGACACTCGGTTTATGTACTTCTTCTATATAATTATAGATATCTCAAATATTTTTGAGAAAACTCATTGATTTTAGTATTTGTTGTTAAAGTAGACATGTCAAAGTATAACATATTAAAGTTTCGACTTTTTACACTGTTTGTTTTCCGTTTAAATCTAAGTATCTCGAATATTTCTGAGAAAACTCATAGATTTTAGTATTTGTTGTCATAGTAGATATATTAATGTATAACATACTTAAATTATTACTTCATATAAAGACCGAAAGTATTTTTAAAAATTATATCTTTTCTACTATAGATATTCTTATGGAAGGCTTCTAGGTACTTTTTTCATATGTTTCTAAATATCTTAAATATTTCTGAGAAAACTCATGGATTTTAGTATTTGTTATCATAGTAGACATATTAAAGTATAAAATACTTAAATTACAACTTAATGCAACGAACGAAAGTATTTTTTAAAATTTACAACTTATTTACTTTTGTTCAGGAGTATTTTTTATCGAAGGCTTTGTGTACTTTTTTCATATAATTCTAACTATCTCAAATGTTTCTGAGAAAATGGATTTTAGTATTGTATTGTTGTCATAGTAGACATATTAAAGTATAACATACTGAAATTCTAACATTCTACAACGAACGAAAGTACTTTTAAAAAATGTTTTTTTCCTACTTTAGCCTTTCCGTTGTCATATGCTTTTATGTACTTTTTTCATATAATTCTAAATATTTCGAATAATTCTAACAAAACTCATCAATTTTAGTATTTGTTGTAAAGTAGACATGTTATAGTATGATATATTAAAATTTACAACTTTTTAGACTAATTTTTAAAAATTGCAACTTTTCTACTTTAGCTTATGGGTATTGTTATCGAAAGCTTTCATGTATTTTTTTTGCATAATTAAAAATATTTCAAATATTTCTAGGAAAACTCATCGATTTTAGTATTTGGTGTTATAGCAAGCATATTAAAGTATAACATACTAAATTTGCAACTTTCTACAACAAACAAAAGTATTTTTAAAAAATTACAACTTCTCTATTTTAGTTCGAGAGCATTTTCAGGCTTCTATGTACTTTTTCCTTATTGTCATGAATATCTCAAATATTTCTGAGAAAACTCATCGATTTTAATATTTATTGTCATAGTAGACATATTAAAGTATAACATACTTAACTTACAACTTTATGCAACAACCGAAAGTATTTTTAAAAATTAAAACTTCTTCACTTTAGCTAAAGGTACTATTATCGAAAGCTTTCATGTACTTTTTTTGCATAATTTTAATTATCTCAATTTTTTCTGAGAAAACTCATAGATTTTAGTATTTGTTGTCATAGTAGACATGTTAAAGTATAACATACTAAAATTGCAACTTTCTACAACAAACGAACGTATTTTTAAAAAATTACAACTTTTCTACTTTAGCTCATGGGTATTTTTATCGAAGGCTTTCACGTACTTTTTTCTTATAATTCTAAATATCTCGAATATTTCTGGGAAAACTCATCGATTTTAGTTTTTTTCTTATACTAAACTTGGTAAAGTATAAAATACTAAACTTCCAGCATTCTACAAAAAACGAAAAATTACAACTTTTCTACTTTAGCTCATCGATATTTTAATCAAAAACTTTCACGTACTTTTTTCATATATTTTTAAATATCTTAAATATTTCTAAGAAAACTCGTCAATTTTAATATTTGTTGTCATAGTAGACATGTTAAAGTATAACATACTTAAATTTCAACATTTTACGACAAACGAAAGTATTTTTAAAAATTCCAACTGTTCTACTTTATGTCTTGGGTATTTTTATCAAAGATTTCACGTACTTTTTTCATATAATTTTAAATATCTTAAATATTTCTAAGAAAACTCATCAATTTTAGTACTTGTTGTCATAGTAGACATGTTAAAGTATAACATATTAAAATTTCAACTTTTTACAACAAAGGAAAGTATTTTTAAAAAATTACAACTTCTCTACTTTAGTTTGAAAGCATTTTCTGGCTTTCATGTACTTTTTCCTTATTGTCACAAATATCTCAAATATTTCTAAGAAAACTCATTGATTTTAGTACTTGCTGTCATAGGAAATATATTAAAGTATAACATACTTAAATTACAACTTAATACAACAACTGGAAGTATTTTTAAAAAATTACAACTTCTCTATTTTAGTTCGAGAGCATTTTCAGGCTTCTATGTTCTTTTTCCTTATTGTCATAAATATCTCAAATATTTCTGAGAAAACTCATTGATTTTAGTACTTGTTGTCATAGCAAGCATATTAAAATATAACATACTAAATTTGCAACTTTCCAAAAAGATCAAAAATATTTTTAAAAAAATACAACTTTTCCATTTTGGAAGTATTTATCGCAGGATTCGTGTACTTTTTCCGTATAATTATAAATATCCCAAATGTTTCTGAGAATACTTATTGATTTTAGTATTTGTTGTTATGGTAGACATATTAAAGTATAAAATACTAAACTTACAAAATTACAATAATACAAAAAGGTGGAATAATTTTCCATAGAAAATCTGCCTAAAATTAACAAGATGAGAAAAGTGCAAATTTTTCAAGGCAGTGAATAGGCAACTTATTTTCTTCAGTTTCAACAATAATTTTGAAAAAAAATACTTCAATATTAATATGATGAAAACTAATTCAATTATCTACGTTTCTACATTATTAAAATTTATTAAAATATTAACTGATAATGAATGAATTTATTAAAGTTAAATGTTGAAAAAATTGTTTTTCAACCATTATTGATAATAAAAAGTCCAGAAATTACTTATTTTGCAAACCTGTTGAACCAAAAAATGTCTACTCTCAAATTCATTTATGGAACGCAAGAAAAGTAGCAGATTTGGGTTATTTGACAAATTTTTTAATTGGTATTTTTATTACTTACCTACGGCTGTAAAGCTAAAGAAACCATGTTTCCATGTTCCAACATAATGAACACGTTCATTAAGGCAGAAGAGTCCAGGGACCCAATTTGCTATTTTTGGATTCACTGATAATAATTCACCAGGAACATGCCGTCTGAATACAGGGTTCCACACTAAAACAGAATAATAGATTTATATATTTATAAATATTTCGTGAACTATCACTTATCCTATATTTTTTACTCACCTGTTGGTGAATGGAATCTATGATAATCCCCTGGTGCCAAATAAATAACACACTGATACAATGCAGAGCTTCCATCTCGACTGTGCATAACCGTCCTGTGAAACGGATTGTCCACATTTGAAATTTTCGTAGAACTAAATTTATTCACATCGATGACTTTCATATCATTCGTTTCATCTAACTTTTCATCTGCTTGGCACCACGTTGGAGGACCCAGGAAACAGTCCAGTTTGTAAGAGACTCCTGGGGGGAATAAAAAATATATAAGAGGATGATTTTATTATGGGAAACTATTATGTTACCTTTGACTTGTTCGATGTATGCTCCATCAGCAACTCCACAATGCAAAACTGTACCGTCGCAAGGTGATATTAAACAACTATTTGGATCTATGGTTCTGGCATCAGGTTTTAGTGGACGAGAGAAAAATGATGCTAAACTCCTAAAACAAACGGCCATAATTCATTGATTCAAGTGCTGATAGATACATTTATGTATCTATATTTTACTTACCTATATTGTTTGAAATCTGTGACTAGAGCTTCTTGCATATTGACCCCAAAGGCACTGGCGTAGCACCCATAAACAACAGGTCTTAAAGGTGTAGGAACTCGACAATCAGCCAACCATCCAAAACATCTCGAGAACATTCTCAGAGGCAACGAGGTGTAGCATTGTATCTATTTAGGGAAATAATACAAATTTGGTCATTGATAATGGATAATAAATATAGAACTTTTTTTTTAATCGAATATTATTTTTGAATTTCTAAAAATCAAGACTTATTGAGCGTGCATGCTTTTAAGTGATTATTTGAAAAAAATTTAATCCTAAAAGCAACACAAATTTATATGTAATGTAATACCAGGAACAATTTATATATATATATATATATATATATATATATATATATATAAAGTTACAGACGTTTCAAGACTAATTTGCCTCATCATCAGTGTAAATTTACAAAAAATTTATGCATTTTATGAATGACTAGAAAACACGTTTTATTTAAATAAAATTTATTAAAATGTTAATTTTGTTGCTAAATTACACGTTTGTCATTCATCACTTTATTATTATTATAAGAAAGACGTAGTTGTTTTTTTTTCAATTACATAATTAATATATAGATATATCTTTTACGATGTTGAATTAGAGTTCTATATTGTTAAAATTTTAGTATTTTATACTTTAACATGTCTACTATGGCAACAAATACTAAATTCCATAAGTTTTCTCAGAAATATTTGAGATATTTGTGATTATTTGAAAAAAGTACATGATGAAAGCTTTAGGTTCACCTGATGATCGTAAACTAAAGTATAAAAGTAGAAATTTTTTAAAAATACTTTCGGTCTTTGCATAAAGTTGTAACTTAAGTATGTTATACTTTGATATGCCTAATATGGCAACAAATACTAAATTCCATGAGTTTTTTCAAAAATATTTGAAATATTTATGACAAAAGCAAAAAGTACATGAAAGCCTGAAAACGCTCACGAGCTGAAGTATAGAAGTTGTAATTTTTTAAAAATACTTTCTTTTGTTGCATGAAGTTGTAATTTGAGTATGTTATACTTTAATATGTCTACTATGACAACAAATACTAAAATTGATGAGTTTTCTCAGAAATATTTGAGATATTTATGACAATAAGCAAAAAGTACATAAAAGCCTGAAAACACTCTAGAACTGAAGTAGAGAAGTTATGATTTTTTAAAAATACTTTCGGTTAATGCATAAACTTGAAATTTGAGTATGCTTTATTTTAATATGTCTACTATGACAACAAATACTGAAATTCATGAGTTTTTTCAAAAATATTTGAGATATTTAATATTATATTGAAAAGATATTTTCAAGCCTTCAATAAAAATACCCATAAGCTAAAGTGCAAAAGTTGTAATTTTTAAAAATACTATCGTTTGTTGTAGAATGCTATACTTTTAGTATATTATACTATAATATGTCTATTATAAAACCAAATACTAAAATATATGGGTTTTCTCAAAAATATTGAAGATATATTTACTTTTACAAAAGATGTACGTGAAAGCCTTTGATAAAAATACAGATTGAATAAAAAGGTTCTGAATTTTAAAAATACTTTTGGTTATTGTAAAATGTTGAAATTTTCAATATATTATATTTTACAATGTCTACTTTGTCAACAAATACTATAATGAATGTGTTTTTCCAAAAATATTTGAGATAATTAGAATTATATGAAAAAATTACATGTAAATAATCACAAAGGGCAGAAGCAAAGATGCATTTTTTTATAAACTTTCCTTTGTTGTAAAATGTTGTAATTGTAGTATGTTATACTTCAATATATCTACAATAACGACAAATACTAAAGTCAATAAGTTCTCTAAAAACTTTTCACGATATTAATATTTTCATGGAAAACGTTCACTTCCAAGCCTACATAGACTTACAGACTGATTTTTTTTTAAATAGAAAAGTACATGAGAAAAATTTTAAAAATATTTTTGTTTGTTGTAAAATATTGTAGTTTATGTATAAAATAACTGGTATTACATATAGCATGCTAAATTCAAACCACAATCACTAAATGATTGCATCGTTTCATTTACAAATCGTAAAACAAATTAAAATGGAATATGAATTCATTTAGCACATGCTGTAATTAACAAATGTATTATATATGTATATATATATATATATATATATACATATATATATCAATATATCATATCATATGTATATATATATATATATATATATATATATATATATATATATATCAAACAAGTGCTCAAATAAGATATTCCATTATCTTTTAATATTTAAGTCCTATAAAAATTTTCTTTGTTAATGCACAAAACCAATGTGAATGACACGAATCTACCCTGATGAATATGTGTGTAACGATTTAACAAAAAACCTAGACGCAATACAAACACAAAAACCAAAACCAAGACGACATGACTGTGAGATTGATTTGAATCAACTATCGATTAAAACTAATATTAATGGGGAAATTCTGCCATAACAGAGCTCATAAAATAGCGTTGTCATGGAAACGCTATCTTATGGTAGTGGACATTGTGAAAATGTCTAACTATTTGCTGTGCGATCAGGCGTATTTTATATATAAACAAGCAATAAAGAATGTTATGATAACAGAATTCTAGATGATGCAGTTATAGAAATATATAAATTATTAAAAAAAAAAATTTCTGTGTTTTATAAAAATATATTAAAAATTATGATTATCAAAACTGTACAAATATTCATGTCATGACATTTTGTATAGTTTTGATAATGAGATATTTTAATACATTTTTATAAAACATAGAAATATCCTTCTATTAATTTTTATATTTCTATACAGTATCACGTCGGGGTCACCAGTATAAAAATGTATTAAAATATATCATTTGTATGTAAAATATACCTGATCACATGGCAAATAGATAGACATTTTCACAGTTTCACTAACAAAAGGAAAAGCATAAGATGCTGTTACCATGACAACGCTATTTTATGAGCTCTGTTATGCCAGAATTGTCCCATAAGAAAGAAGCTGGCAAAGTGATTGATTGGGGATCAAAGGATACAATTGATACTTCATCCACCAATATTGCTTGCTTCCATTTTATAATCTAATTTAATAAAAAACTAATATCACCGTATTTCATCCGACACACATATATAGATAGATAGCAATATCCGCTTTATTCCTGTATGTAAACTCAGAACAGTTTAGGTTAGACCCTTTGCTCTATTCCTTTCCCCCGACTGACCTCAAAGTCGCTAGCAGTCTTTACATCAGCTCCTCCATCCTTTCTCCTAGATCTCCATTGCATGGCGACAATCAGACAGATTCCCAAGGGGGTCCATCTGGTGAGGACGCCTCTCCAGGTCACCCATCCCCCTGCGGCTAAAATCCACCAGTCGAAAACGGATAGAACACTTCTCCATTTCCAACTTTTTGTCATACCTTTTGTCAACGTACCACCACCACCTTGCTGGTTTCCCGAACCATTCGTTGACCCAGTTGTACTGAAATGATGGATTCTAGTGCCATTGCCACTGTTGAGGCAGTGCTTCTGGGCACAGCTCTGGTTGATCTCGTTCCAGGCGTACTTCTTGAGGCTCTTGAAACTACCCACATTCTTCACACTAAAAATAGAAACAAAATTATATATATATATATATATATATATATATATATATATATTTGTAATATTTTTGCAGTTCAATCGTCGAATTAAAAAAAAGATTAAATAACAAAATTATTTATTCCATTAAACGTTTCGACATTTGATGTGTGTCATCATTCAGTGATCTAAAAAACATATTGCATAAATACAAAGATGATAATAAATATAAATATATAAAAAGGAGAAAATTATACATACCAAACCAGGAAAAACAACAGAAAAAAATAATTATGATGTAAAATTGATTGAACACTAAATTTGTGTAAAATAATAATATACTGTTATATTAACAAACAAGAAATTGAGGGAGAACATATTGCCCTCCTATATGTTATTAATAGCGTTGCATTATAGACACTGATCAAGGTTACAAAGCAAGTTTAGTGACGGAGTGGGAGCAGGGTGTGAGAAACGAAAGGGGAAAGACTTAAATCAAAAACTCCCGCTGATAGGGTTATTGATTCTGTTTACAGGTTGGACTGCAATGATTGCAATAGATGTTACATTGGTGAAAGTTCCCAATATATATACAAGAGGGTTAATCAACATATTTATAATTCTAGAAACCCAAATCAATTCAAAACGATGCTTTCAGAACATATGATAAACCTGAACCACACTTTTAACATGTCAAATCCTTCCATCTTTTACATTGAAAAAAAAATTGTGACCTTAGAAATATAGCTGAGTCTTTACTTATATCCCTTAATACTTCTTGTGTCAACAAACGTAATTCCTCTCATCTCTTACATGACAGTTACAAAGTCATCATTAATTTCATGAAAAGTAATTCTATACAGTTTTAGAATCTTTCGTTTGTTATATTTCTTCTCTGTTTCTCTTTCCCCTTTCGTTTCTCACTCCATCACTACACTTGCTTTGTAACCTTGATCAGTGTTCATAATGCACCGCTATTAATAACATAAAATATAGGAAGGCAATATGTGCTTCCTCAATGACTCGTTTGTTAATATAATAGTATATTATATTATTATTTTACACAAATTTAGTGTTCAATCAATTTTACATCATAATTATTTTTTTCTGTTGTTTTTCCTGGTTTGGTATGTATAATTTTCTCCTTTTTATATATTTATATTTATTATCAACTTTGTATTTATGCAATATGTTTTTTAGATTACTGAATGATGACACACATCAAGTGTCGAAACGTTTAATGGAATAAATAATTTTGTTATTTAATCTTTTTTTTAATTCGATGATTGGGCTGCAAAAGTATTACAAATATGTATCAACATCGATTTGAAGAAACTTTGTCAAAGAAACCATAGCTCTGAAATGAATTTTAAGCCAACCAAAATTTCAATATAATTTTTTCTCTACAAATATCTAAAGTTCAAGTTTTTCATCTATATTTTCATCTTATTATTTTTATCCAGTTATATATTTTAAATTCACTAATCACTAATAGTTGTTTTGATGCAACAAAATTACTAATTATTTTTAACTTTTAAATGAATAGGTAAATAATAAACAACAGGATTTCATAATCACCTCATGTTTTGTTTCATATAGTTTTTTAAAAGCACTCTAATTTTTTAAATAAATATAAATATTACTAGTTAACAAGGTTTTATATGTTTACTGTTCTTTATAAATCACAATATTTACTTTTATTTTATTCTACAATCACATATAATTCTTGGCTTTATGAAAATCAGTCTGAAAACATAACAAAAGTTAATTATTATTTGAAATAAATATTCTCTTAACTGATAAGCATGAATAAATATCTTTCTAAAATATTAATCAATATTCATATAACAAAAAGGCAAAAAGTATGATACTTGGAATAAATATTTTGATCTATTTTTTTTAATCCTTCTAAAATAATTAATCGGTAAATAAATGTGTTGGCATGCATAATAGATGTATCAAGTGTATTATTAATTATTTGGACATTTTTAATATTCTATTTCATATTATTGTATTTTTATAAATATGTTATTGATATTCAATACTTATTTATTATTTATTATTTTTTAACTTCAAATATTATTAATCAGAACTGAATAAGTCGAGTTAGGATTTGAAACGTTTGATACAAAAATAGGAGTCACTTCTAAATAACTTAAATATCTGTTTAAGTTATTAATTATTTGTGCTTATTTTCAAACCTATAAAATTAACAAAAAAAATACTATAAACAGCCAAAATAATATAATTAATTAAAGAAATTAATGAAATATTTAAATGAGAGCCAAAGTATCTTAGTAAAAAATTTTAAAGGAATTTCAAATGAAAAACTAATATTATTTTTGTTTTTTGCTATTACTATTCCCCCCTTCCCATCAATATTTAAAATTTTAATTAAAATATATAATTAACAATTGAAATTCTTGTAGAATAGTTAAAATAGTCTCTTAGTTTGTTAAAAAACGTTCTGAAGTCAAAAAAAAAGTTTTTAACTATGTTTATTCAATGAATTAAGTACATATATTATGTATATTTATTTGTTATTCATTTTGTATTATATTTAAATTTTCGTCACCCAGAAAAAAACTAAATCAGGTCTCGAAAGACATGCTTATGCTTTTTTTAAACACTAGTCTAATTGTTTAAATTTAAAATTTAAGTTCATGGACAGTATTTATATCTTAATATTATTTTTCTTTATTTTCAGTTTATTATTGTATTACTTTTGTAACTATTTAGTTAAATTCAATAATTATTTCACTTCATGATTAATACTCCACTTTTCTCACATATTATTTATTTATTTATTTATTTTATAATTTGTACACTTTAAAATGTAATTATTTTGTATTATTGCCTTGGGCGTTGAATAAATAAATAATAAATAATAATTAAATAATTTATATAAATCGCATTGAAGATAAGTCGAATCAGGGCACAAACATATGTTTTTAGACAAAATTAACTTTCAAATTTTCTAATTTTGTTTTTCATTTAATAAATAAATCATATATATATATATATATATATATATATATATATATATATATATATATATATATATATATATATATACAATATTCAACTTGCTTATATATTGATTACAAACCACATTTAATTTAAATTTATCGATTTCTCATTTTGTCTATTTAATTTTTTTTATACAAAATTCAAGTATATTCAATAATTGTTGCTCGTTATTTCTTATTGGTTTATTGTATATTGTTATTTTTATTGTTTTATTTAAATTATTTGTCTGTATCATATTGAAATTAAGTGGAATCAGAACTCTTAAACGTATGCCGCATTAATTGAATTTTTTGAATTTTACAAGTTGAATTTTTATTTAATTGTTAGATGAATACAAAATGCCATATATATATATATATATATATATATATATATATATATATATATATATATATTCATCTATTTATTAAATAAAAACTACAGTTAAATAATTAAAATTTCAGTTTATTGCATATCTTTATATTGCTTTTATCTATTTATAGTTTTCATTTCATATTTTTTGTGAAATTTATAATTTAACTATGTTAGATAAATTCAATAATTATTTTGTTTTTTATTTAAATAATTTGAATGCTTCATACTGAAAATGAGTCGAACCAGAACTTTTACACGTTAAAAATTGTAATATATAAATATATATATTTGTATATATTAAATGTTGAATATAAACAATACAACACTCAGATTTTTAACACACACTTTATTTAGTAATTACAGACGTTTCGAGACCATGGTATGCCTTATCTTCAGTGTAATTTCAAAACAGTAAAAATTATATACTAATACATTATTCAATATTTTATTGAAATTATACCATGTAACTCTTACAATGCTTGACACAGTACTAAACATGTGAATATATACAGAAATATTTAAAAATAAGTATTAAGTGTCGAAGATGAAGGGACAAGGATGGATATTATTATAATGTAAACAAAATAATATTATGTAAAATTGTTTACATTATAATAATATCCATAATAATATAATTTAAATTTAAATAAAATATTAAATAATGTATTAGTATATAATTTTTGTTGTTTTGAAATTACACTGAAGATAAGGCATACCATGGTCTCGAAATGTCTGTAATTATTAAATAAAGTATGTGTTAAAAATCTGAGTGTTGTATTGTTCTTTTTTAACATTTAATATATACATATATATATATATATATATATATATATATATATAAGAATTTGATTTGTTTATAAACCTATTATCATCAACAAACTACTATCGTATCACTAAATATTTATATCAACTTCAGATAAATAACTATAAACAATAACCAATGTCCCAATCACACTACACATAAAAAAGAATCTAGCAGCACTTAAAATAATAACCATAGGTCCACCACATACACATTGGTGAATCCAATTAAGTCAATTTGCACAATTTAAATTCGTACATATACATTTCATACATGGGTGTAGAGTGTGCAAAAACCTGAAAACATAATTCCCCATCTCGTTATCGGTCATACAATATCCGTGTTTTATAATTGGCAAACTTTTAAAACATCCGATCATCGTTTCATACATATGTAACATTAGATAACGGAGTCTTCTGATAACTTACAATCTAGTCTTTGGTATTATATACAGCACCATGGTGACGAAATTCTTTTCCTCCTGTTACCGAATTTATACATACGAATATTTGTACTATAAGAATTCTTGGTTATGACACTTATCACAGAAACATAAGCACTAAATTTTATTGTTTATATTGTATATGTAGAGAAATGTTTTGGAATTCTTTGTGTGCACGATTTTGACAAGAGATCATCTGCGTTGTGTGCGTCATATTGGATTATTAGATTAGATAGATTGGTAGTACTGGCGGCATCTGGTGTGAACTTGTTGGAATTTAGCAAGGATTCGAATCGGATACTGCTGTTTTGGATTTGGCGGCTGTTTAAATGTCTGTTGCAACTTATAAAATTCTGTATAAGGATATAAAAGGATTTGGAATGTTTTTTGTTTGTTAAAGGATGCAAAATACTTGTCCAAAGTCTACATTTTAAGTTGTACATTTTAAGGGTTACACATGTGCATTGATAGATAGCGCGCACAATTTTATTTCTCTTTACAAAACGTTTTTCAAACTTATTTTTTTTATTCCTCCAAAATAAATAATTATTAACTTCTCATAGGCTAATTTAAAGTAATCGCAAGAAAAATTAAAATGAAATTTTTAATATGTTTCTGAACATTTTGGCATACTTCAGAAAAAATGAATGTGTGTATGTGTGTGTGTGTGTGTGCGGATACAAATTTTCGTCGACGATTTTGCGAACACAGATCAACCGATTTGAATGATTCTGAAAACATTCGATTCCTATTTATAAGCAGGCGTGCTGATTAGTTTTTAGCAAAGGCAGGTCTAGCCGTTTTGGAGATATGGGGCAAAAAGTGCCTAAAATGGTATTCCAGTTTTTGAGATAACGGAGCGTCCGATTTGAATAACTAAAAAAACATTTTACTTGTACTGACAAGATGAGGTACTCATTAAATTTTTGAGAAGGCAGGTCTAGCGGTTTCGGAGATCTAGCAAAAAAAAGTAAAAAGAAATGCCATTTGGCGATAAAAAATGAACTTTAGACTTATGTACATAGTATTAACAGATATTTTTTAAAGATTATAGTAATAAGTACAAATTTTATTGTGTACATTTATATGGGTTCCGTACCAATGTTTACACGTTAGACGACTACAAATCAGCTATGCAGCGCGATTGCTTAAAAAAACGTTCAAATTTTCAGAACAAAATCAAAAAGAATCGAAAGTTTCGAAAAAGTCCATTTTTTTCAAAATTTCTCAAAAATCTAATTCTTTCTAAAGTTTTTTTTTCATAATTGAGTTTTCGGTACGGGAAGTTCCAGCAATTTGCCTTAAGGCACTATGCCATGCACCACTAGTTTTTTTTTGTCAGATCAGATTAATAGTAGAATCCCATGGGATAAAATTAAATAAACTAGGTGTAAGTTGCATTTGTGTTAAAGCAAGTTGCATGAACTTTTGCCAATGCATATAAATAATCTAAGTAGATAATATTTTAGATTTAGCTAGTCAGATAAAATTTTTGATTGTTTTTTTTTGAAGAATGAAGTTACAGCTTTCATTAAAAACTAATCAATGCAATTTGTAATTGATATCTTTTAAATTGCATATGTGTCCACTCCATGTACATATTTTTTCTGATTTTAGTCTCATTTGAAAAAACATAAAATTAGCAAATTACCAAAACAATCTTAATCTTATCCTTCTAGGTTAATTAAATATTAATTTCTTCTAAACTCATACAGTTAGTCAAAATCTTTTATTCCCAAATAAATAACAAATATAATATCATAATAAATGCAATCTCATTTGATCGGAACATTTTTCAAAGTTTTGCTAGTCAACTTAAGTCCGCTTGGACAAAGTAAGGGTGTTCCTTGCCAAACTGCTTCTCCATTCTCATTAACTTTCAAATCAACTTGTAATTTCTCCCACACCTAATAAAACATAAATAACATAAATATTATCTTATCATATCTTATTATTTTGTCGTAAGTCTTACTTTCTTCTTGGGATTTAATTGTGCATCTGGTGCTCCATCATATCCTTCAACTTTAATAACATCACCAGGTTTTGCACCTTCTGGTACATTTAATGGTTCAACAGCTTTTGGTTCATCACTAAATAAAATATTAAATTTATAAATTTGGTGCAATAATAAATATTATTTATTCTAAATAAATAATATAAATAATAAATTGATGAATTTAGTTCAATTATTGAGTTAATAAATATTTTTTATTCTAAATAAGTATAACGCTAAGAAATCTCAACACCTCATCATTTCACTGAGAAGTCACACAAGTCCTGACTTGTATTTGAACAAGACAATTATACCAAACCAGGATTCCGTAAAATACCTGGGAATACATTTAGACAGTAAACTAAATTGGAAAACGCATATTTTAAAGAAAAAAAAACAAATAGATTTGAAACTGAAGGAAATAAACTGGCTAATGAGAAGATCATCTAAACTGTCTCTAGAAAATAAACTCCTCTTATACAAAGCAATAATAATCCCAATATGGACTTATGGGATAGAGCTATGGGGCTGCGCCAGCAAGAGTAACATTCAAATAATCCAGAGAGTACAAAACAAAACTCTGAGAATGATTTGTAAGGCTCCGTGGTTTATGACCAACCACATGATCCATAAAGACCTAAAAATTCCAACAGTGGCGGAAGTTATTAAGAACAGAAGTTTTATCTTTCAAAACAAATTGGATGCACACGTCAATCCGGAAATGCAAATAGTACAAACAGCCGAAAAATTAAAACGCCTGAAAAGAAAATGGCCCAGTGATCTACCGTCAACAACATAATTTCCCTGTTTCGCACAGGAAAATTTTCAAACAAGTTATTTTTAATTATTATTTATTATTGATTATCGTTTTTATTATTAATACTATTATTTTAATTATTATTTATTCATTCATTTATTCTATTTCTTTTCTTTAATTTCCTTTATTCTATTTTTTTTCTTTTTGATTTTGATTTTCAATACCATAACTTTTAACTTATAGATTGTATTGTAATCTGATTGTTAAAATTAACAGAAATAAAAAAAAAAAAAAAAAAAAAAAAATTCTAAATAAGTATATAAATTTTAAATCTATTAGTTTAATTCAATTACTTAAAAAATAAATATTAATATCCTTACACAGATGCACATAAGACCATTCCTTGGCTCTCAACGCCTCTCATTTTGGCTGGTTTCAAATTGCATAAAACTACTACCATACGGTTTTGCATTTCTTCTAAGGGAACATAATTAGCTAAGCCACTGACAACCTAGATAAAAAATCAAAATTATAACATATATCAATATTTATATATATATATATATATATATATATATTAGTTTATTTACTGTTCTTGGTTGCTCTTCTCCCAAATCAATTTTTTCAACATAAAGACTATCTGCATCCGGATGTTTTGATGCTTCAACAATACGTCCAATTCTTATATCCAAGCGATGAGGACCTAAAACCTCCTCAGCATTATTTGCAGTATTATTAGCACCTGCTTTTGCAGCTTTTCCCGGTGGAGGATAAGCCTTTTCAGATAATGCTCTAGAAAAGATAAATATATATTTATAATATACATGTTTATCAAAATTATGTTGGTTACTTACTTTAATTCAGGTTTTTCAAAAGTTTTTCTAATTGGATCCAATAATCGATTAATGTATACTTCAACAGCCCCTTTGAGATCCCCTGGATGTAATTCTTCTTTGGCAAAGCTGTCTTCAAGGTCCTGATAGTTTGTGAATGTTAAATCACCCCCAAATTCAGCTTTCCGGGTGACAAGGAAAGCTAAAATGTAATAATCATAATATATATGTTATATTTTTATGAAAAGTATTTGTGAATATTCACCTTCTCCTTCTTTGAACAATGGGAACAAAACGTGCTTAACAAACGACAGTAAACCATTGTCAGTAATATTTCCTGGTTCACAAAATGCCCGTTTCAACTTTTTCTTAACATTAGCCGGTGAGTCTAACAAATCAATTTTGCTGTCTTCTTCACTTGAAGACATTTTTCCACCAGCTAATCCAGGAACTATAAACAAAATAATAAATAAATTTAGTATTCAATTAAAGAAGTTAAAACTGAGTTGATTTTTGGATTTTTACCCATTGGATTCATCAAATGTATACGTTTCTCATATCCCAATTGTGGTAAATATTTCTCAGACATTGTGAAAATTTTACGTTGATCAACACCTCCAAATTGTGCATCTACTTTTAAGTATTCTTCATCTAAACCTTGAAGTGTTGGATACAATAAACCGGACAGTAAAGGATGCTCAACTTGTTTTACAACCTGATTGAATAAAAATTGTAATAATTCAATTTAATTTATTTACTCAAGAGTTGTAGTAATTTTTACCTCTGCACCGGCTTTTTTTGCATCATGTTCTGATATCACAGAACTGAATCTGTAAACATCTAGTGTATACTCACGAGATAATTGATAATCTGTACCTTTGACAAATTTTAATTTGTCCAAGGGTACTCCAATACTTTCCAACATTGCTTTTATCACAGCTAAAATAGTAGATAATAATATATATATGATGAATGATGAATTCAAAATCAAGAAATATGTTATAATTTATTTACCTTCATAATATTGTGTACGTAGTTCCAGTAGACTCCATGGGGCTTTCATATTATCTAAATAAGCATGCAGGTCAGCAAACAATATTGTAACCTACCCAAAAAATAATATGAAATGTCTTTCAATCACAAATAGTTTTTTTGTTTTTACCATAAGATAAAAAATTGTAATTTCCTTCAATTACATTTTTCTTTTATTTATTTCCTTTACCTCGCATCCAGCTTTTAAAAAATCTGCAATTTTGCTCATTGGAACAAAATAAGCCACGTGTGGCTTTCCAGTGGTAGCGGTGCCCCAATAAATTTTCAAATCTCGCTCTTTTAAGATTGCAGTCATTTTATCATCTCCCAAGACTTCTTGCAGATTTCTGCAAATTAATTGTTTCTTTGCTTCCCACATACTAAAAAGTAAAAGAAATAGTAATAATAATAAACAGAAAATTGTGGTGAAGAATAATATATTTATAAAAAAAGTTATAGGAGAACTATAAAGGCTTTTTTTGAGACGAATAAATTTCTTGTTTCGATAAATCAATTAATAATATTTAATTAAAATAAGTATTACATAATAATAATAATTAATATTTTATTTGTTCAGTGACTACACATTATATATTGGCACAAAATTCACATAAAACTTTATTAACCGATTATTCATTTTGAAAACGCTTTGAACTATTTGATTATTAAATAAATGCTTGAAAATCATACTTTATTCGTCAGTAAGATAAATTTATATTTAGATGCGGGAAGCTACATAAAAACTAATATATTTATGTTAACAAAAATTATAAATTCTTATAAAATGAAAATTTTATGAACAAAAGTGTGTGACATAACCTCACATTTTAATATAGTAAATTTAAGTGAATTAATGTATTATATATCAAAATATAGTTCTCATTTGCATATTTCAGCTAATTTAATAAACTTTATAATAACATTGGTATAAAAATCAACTTTATCATGAAAAATTAACTTTATTTTATCAAATTTTTTAGGTTATGAGCATATGCTTCACTAAAACCGATTTAAAAATACACAATAATGAAATAATAATATTTCAAATACATGAAATTAATAACTAACAAACAGTATTTTAATAATATGGAACTGTATAACTTAATAAAATATTTATTTTATTTACTTTTTAAATTTATTTAAGCACCGCTCTACCAAATGTCAGATCAGTTCTGAGAAAGACCACGTTTTAAAAATTGCACAACTGGTGAAAGTTTCTTCGTACAAAAAATTTAAAATTTAAAATAAATAAATAAATATTACACTTGTTAGAAATTTGAAATTTTAACGGTCGGTATTTTAAATATGATATATTTATTTTATATTTATACGGAATTGCTTAAGATTTTTAATTAATTTTGCAAAACTATATTTAAATTTAAATATTTGGCTTGCATTATTTCACAAAAGGCTTGTTAGTTTATAATGTACTCAGAGAAAATTAGTTTTTTTTTAAATTTACTGGAAAACAAGTATTAGTAATAATATTTTTTCAATATATAATTCAAAATTACATAATTTAAATTAAAATAGATATATACCTTTCATTGAATGCAAATAGTTTTTGCTTGAGCTTATTAATAAATTATATTACATTCATTTTCTATAATTGTCTTGTCTAATGTAATTTATTCTTGGTAATAATATATCTCATTTTATTTTATCTGATTTATTCAGATACATTTTACATATAGCAATACAAATTCTATCATTTTTCTCATACAAAAATGCCATCTAAATAGTATAGTAGCAGTTAGGAGTATTACTTAATTTATACTAAAATCAACAAAATCAATATGTGATATAATATAATAATATAGGACGGATATATTAATATTCTATTTTTGATTTGTTATAAATTGACTAGCTCCAATATCATAAAATTTATAAATTAAAATTACTTTATAAAAATACTTGTTTTTGCAAAGATGGAGAAATTATTAATTAACAAATGTTTTTCTTTCATAGATTTTACAATCATGCAAACATTTATCAACGGCAAGATGTCTGGTAACATGTCTGGTTAGATATGGCAAGTGAATACATGTTTATTTTTAACTTGGCAACATTTAACGTCACAAATATTATTTAAAAATCTTCATGAAAGCTCTTAGCAGTGCCGACCATTTTAGAACCCAAAAATAGCTCCATCTTTTTCAAAATCTCGCTGAGAGATAAATTGTTATCATTATTGGCATCAGCTAAACTCATTAAGGTTGCTGCTTCTTGTAAACTGTGCCGGGGGTGTCTGGGATCGACGTATTTTAATAGTTCTTGTCTATCAGCCTTACCATCTCTGTTTTTGTCGACTAAATGCACAAATTCTTTTCTACGGTTTGATTCTTCTTGTTTTGACTGCTTTTTTACTGTTGTTTCATCACCAAATAGAGGAGTAAAATCTGGGAAATGTAGAATTTATTAGTGAAGTAAAATGGTAATAGAATAATTGTTTTTACCATAATCTGGGAATGTAGAAAATTCATCTTCAGTCAGGACGTCATCACCATCTCTATCAAATTTTTCAAGTAAATCATCCACTGTTGAAAATACAAATATATTATGATATAATTTTAATTGGCAGTTGAAGTTTTTATTTTTATTCACCTATTCCTAGCATATTAGCAGCACTAGATTCAGGATGTTTAAAAGCTAGAAATTCATCCAAAGTCAAACTATAGGGGTCGTTTCTTGCAGCCTCTGACCACATTGCACGATCTCTCATTATCGTTTCTACAATAAAATACACATTTAAATAACAACCAAACATTTTGCATGCAACATTCTACCTTTTAATTCTCTGTCTAATCCTTTATGCTTTCGTTCATCATGTTCATTAACATAACCATCTGATAAACCATGGTTTTTGAGGAAATATGCATGATACTCCTCCCAAGTAATTAAACCGTCAGGCGGTTGTTTATCTACTTCTATGAACATTGCTGAATTGCCTGAGATAAAATTATATAGAGGTTAATTTTAACAAATTGGGGATTATAAATAGGCTTTATACCTGCAATAGCTTGTTCGATATGCTCTTTAACTCTATCATTAATATATCGTGCCAGTTCTTGTATACTCAACAATGCATCTTTGTTAAGATCAGCCCTAAAATAAATACATTTATACAATTCTTGTATTTTCTATAGTTCTTTTATCTTGTTTCTTACAAATTAAATATGTCTTTCAACAGTTTTGTAGGATCATTTTTCGAATTCGGTTTTATTTTCCCAGTCCATATGGAGATTTCACCTTTCACTTGTTGAAAAGTTCTATCAGGACCAATATTTACTGCAGCTTTATCATAATCCAATTTTCTGTCATTGGATGACTTCAAAGGCAAAGTCGATGTTAGAATCGTCGTTATAAAACAAGAATAAATTAAAACCGGAATTAAAAGAGATAATATTTGCTGCGAGATGTTGAACATCTTTAACACAACTTTCACTTTAAGTTGTCATGTCGCTCATATTCAATAGTTTTGAGTACGTGTGTAAATGTAATGGCATATTGTTAATTATAAAACTGGTTATTTAAATGGCATTGTTAAGTATTTTAATTTTATGCAATTTAGCAAAAGCTGTCACATTTTGAATCGTATTTGTTGTCTACCGCCATTTTGACTTGAATGATTTATTGTTTTGACGTTTCTTAAACCTAAATTTAAATAAAGCATATTATGTTAATTATATATAAACAAATACATTTTTGCATAAATTAACTTGACATTATTCAAAATCTTGTATATAATAACTATTTGAGCTTAAATATATATAATAATTTTAACTTTTTGAATTTACCGCTATAACTAGGGTTCATGGGGGGTTATCTCTGAACAAATACGCTTTACCGTGTTTTGACATTGAGTATTGCCAAGCTTAGATTATAGATGGCTTACATTCGCTCAATTACAACAACGCTCGTTCGCGCATTTGACAGCCGTCGTACGAATGTGCCAATAACCTATATGTTGTTGCTAAATATTTCTGTTCTAGTGAATATTTAATAAATAAATTTAGTATGGTCACGTGCCAAGTTGTTTCAAATAATGAATATTGAATTGCACGTCTTAAGTGATGGCCAGGTATGTATGATGAGTTATATTTATTTATATAATGAAAATGTATAATAATAATACACGATGAAAATGTCAGAAGTCAAACACTGTTCAATCAATTCAAGAAAGCATCCTAAAGTTCATGTTCTCCGGAGCCTAAATATGCCGGATTTGTACTATATGAATGTATTTTAATAATAATTATTTTAGAACTTGGTATATCAATGTCAATTCATAAAAATGATGTAGAGGCAGTGGCAGATTGTCGAAGGAGAGTAATCTTACTTCAGGTAACTAAATACAAGTTGCTTATATATTTTATTTTGAATAATGTAGTTGTATCTTTAAATCAAGTATCTGTCTTTCTTGTAATAATTTATATAATAATATGCTTCTTGTTTAGGCTTCTTTGAGCTGTATTGAAGTGTGTGGATTAGACAAATCTCCTTTACGGGAATCATGAAAGAGTTTTCCTCTCACACAGTCACGACTAGGAGAGCATTCTGATGTAGAATCAGGCGATAATTCTGATAGAGGGTAAACAAAACAATCTAATAAAAAAACACGACAGTGTGCAAATCCAGAGAAAGGGCCAAGTAATTTTAATTCTAAATCTAAAAGAAAATAAGTAAGGACATAATTCTTGCTTTGAAACTGTACAAAAAGTCTGCAAAGGTATCAAATGCATACATTTTTATTCTGTTTATTGAAAACACTTGGCTTTATAGTTTTTTTTATCTTTTATGGAAGTTTTAATGTTAATGGATTCATCATGATCATAAAATGAGTAAATGTGATTTTTAAAAATCACTCATACACAGAAACTATTTAAAGATTTCGTCAAATGTAACTTTATTAATGATTAATTAGATAGCAAAGTAACTATTAAATGGAAAGATAATAAAGAAGAACATCTCGTAAATGAATTTTAATCCTAGGAATTTAGTTTTATCTCTATTTAGTTTCGAGTTTTATTTTGTTTGGGAAGTATTCGTTCTTTTTTAGAAATTTGCTGTTCTTTTTATTCTTTAAAATTTTTGCATTACTTGCCATTCCTTCTAAATTTGTAATTCCATCGTCAATACTCCTGCGCTTTTCACTTCTTAGTTTTTAAGTTTTTAATATATTATTATTAGTCATTAAGTAATTAATATTAATATCGTTAATTAATATTAATAAGTTACTTTTCTTTAGTTTGTAGTACTTTAAAAATATGTTTGTAATATACTTTAATTAATAGTAGTCAGTTATTTCTGTTTAGTTTATATTTCTTCCAAAATATGTCTGTGATATATTTGAAAATATATTTTGTATTTCGTATGTTTTGTTCTTATTTCAAATATTAAAATTTTTTTAGATTTTTTGGCTGTAATGATTATATGTACAAATGTAGAAGTAATACCAGGGGTTAATTTACAAAATGAACATGTGCTGCCATCAATAATCTTAGCTCCGCACTTCAATCGATGAAACGTCAAATCGCCCGACATAGCTATCTATTTATACTTGTTTATCTATGGTTATAACCATTGACGAACTTCAAACTGTCAACTTTTGACAGTTGTTAGTTCTTGATGCAACTGTCAAAGTGCCCTTTATATATTTTAAATACTGAACGAATTTTTAATTTTGTGGAGAGTAATATTTTATAGCTTTTTTAATTTGCATATATTATTGAATAAAACATAGTATTAAAATTAAATTTATTCTTGTCCCCTTGTGCAACGTTAGTACACTCTGAAGCACATGTTTAACATTTTCATTTTCTAACTGTCACCACAAAAATGAGGTTATCAATACAAAAGTAGTCGTTATGAATTAAGTGAATTATTTCTTTATTTTTATCATATGATAAATCTGTGAAAATGGATGATGTAGTTATAAATTCGTCTGAAATGGAGAGCAGTCTGGTTACACCAAAACGTGAGCAAATATGCGACGAAGAAAGTATTTTTAACAAACTCAACACCATAACGAAGAATCAAACGGTCAACGCTAAGGTAAATAATAAAATACACTTATAATAATAAAATAAAGTTTATTTTTATTTTGATAAATCTTTTTCCCAGCCTCCGGAAATTCAAGATTTCTTTATTGTAAAACCAATTAGTCGTGGAGCATTTGGTAAAGTGTTTTTAGGTTTCAAGAAAACTAATCCTGAGCAATTATATGCAATAAAGGTACAACAGTTATACAAATAGAGGTTTAATATGCAAGCTAATTATTTATAATTGTGCAGGTTATGAAAAAGTCTGAGATGATAAACAAAAATATGGTTTCACAAGTCGTTACTGAAAGAAATTGTTTAGCTTTGTCCAGAAGTCCATTTTGTGTACAGCTTTACTATTCCTTGCAATCAGTTTCATCAATATATTTGGTAAATGATAACTGGATATTGTATTAAGTAACATAACATAAAAATATGTCTTTTACTTCTTAAGGTTATGGAATATATGGAAGGTGGTGACTTGAAATCTCTTTTAAGTGTTTACGGATATCTAGAAGAACCTATAGCACGTTTTTACATTGTTGAAGTTATTTTAGCTCTACAGTATTTGCACGAACATTCAATCGTTCACAGAGACTTAAAGCCGGACAATATGTTACTGTCTGGTAAAGGACATGTTAAATTGACAGACTTTGGTTTGAGCAAAATTGAATTACACAGAGGTACTTCTGTTTTGAATTATATTAATTTGTACAAGTGTTAATTATCCTATTGTTGTAGATTTGGAAATAGCAGATTTAGTAAATGGTACTCCAACACTTAATACACGTACTCCGGGTCAATTGTTGTCTTTGACTTCTCATTTGAGCTTTGGTAATTCAGTAAATAGACGAAGTGGTTGTTCTGGTCATAGCAGTAAGGAAAGAAATTCTGTTTCCACTAATCTTTTACAAAACCTGAATAAAGAAGGTTTGTAGATAATTGATAGTGTTTAATATATAATATGTAATAAAATTAATGTATTTTGAACAGGCAAAGGTAGCAGTTCTGATTTTGTATGTGATCAATTAGATGTTTCTATAGTTTCCACAAATAGCAGTAGATTATCAGGCATTACACCATTTTATAGTGCTGAAATCAATGTAAATGCTGTATCTTCTTCTACAAATAAAACAGTAAGTTTCAAGTAATTTTTACACACATAAATCTTGGTTTATGTAATATATATATTGTATTCCAAACAGGACAATTCTTATCACACTTGCCAAAGCAATAATTGCACAACTGACAAAGAAAATGCAAGTTCAAAATTAGGAAATTATACAATTAATGATGAATTTATAAAATCAAACTCTAGCAATATAATTAACATGTCTAACAGCAATAAAATTAAATGTGATTATTTGGATATTGAAAGTTCTGATGAAATATTATCAAAAAATATTAGCAGTGCTAGAGATTTTTTCAAACGGTATGTATAATAGAAATAATTTTTAAATCTATTCTATCAATTTACATTTATTGTTATTTTAGATCACGTTGTGGTTCTCCTGCATTAACAGAACGATCACGATCAAAATCTTTATCAGAGGATACTTCTGAACATGCTGTGACTTCATTTTCTAGATCTAGATCTTTCAAGAGACCAGAATCTTTTGTGTATGCATTTTTATAATATCTACACATATATATATATATATATATATATATATATATATTTATATATAATTTTATTTATATAACAATTTATTTTCTAGCCGTGCCAAGCGTAAACGTGGTGGCCCTTTCAACTCGCCACCCGATGCAAATATAACTGAGGAGCGTAGTGGAAGTCATACAGGATTGACACAGGAAATAGATTTGATGGATATTGAGAGTTCAACACCGAAACGAAAAGCTACTCGGGCTATTGTTATGCAATCTTCTTCAAGCATTCAAAAATCTTTACAGAAACGAACTATTTTGAAAGGAGTATTAAAAATCAAGTAAGGGTAATTTAAACATATGCCATATTTATTTATTTATTTTACAAGCCGTTGGTATAATAATATTATAATAAGGCTTAAGTCAATATTTTACAGGTTTAATATAATTTGATTCTTAGCTATTTTATTACTTATTTATTATTTAGTTTATTTACTATAAACTTATTCATATTTAGTTAATTTTAATTATTTTTAAATATAACGTTTGTTGCAAGTATTTTAATAAGCTTTACAACACTTTTACAATATAATTATTTTATTTTACAAATTTTAGGTTATTTTATGATATTTTAACAAATTTAAGTGTCTTATATTATTGTTATTATTATTATTAATAATAATAATAATATTATCATTATCATTTTTATTATCATTGTTAAGTATTTTTATAATATAAGTTTTTTTCTTTTACAAATTTTTAGGTATTTTGATGAAAAAAATATTTTGTTTCACAATTTTTTAAGTGTTTATAAATATAAGTTTTTGGTTAACTAACTATTAAGTATTTTAACAATAACAGTCATAGAAAAATAATAATAAAAAAAAAACACTAAAAATTAAATAAAAAAAAGGATTAAAATTTTCATATATATTATGGTGGTCCTTAATAAAGACATTTTTGAATTTCTTTGCTCCCAGGAGCTCAAATGCTTCCAAATTAATAAAAAAAAATCCCCAAAAGTTTTAGCTCTTAATATCAACATTTAGATAGTCTGCAATTCAATTAAAACTTTCCTAAATTTATCATTAACATATTTTATTAAGTAAATTTTTGCATACGATTAGTTTTCTATTATTCTTATTATTTGGTTATCTTCAGGTCCTCATCAGAAGATGATTCTCCTGCACCACCAGCTGGTGGTGTAATGTTTTCAACCCCAGTTCCCAAAAATTCAGAAGTTACAAATTCAGACAGCGAAAATGAGTTAAAAAAAGACTATGCTGGTATGATTCGACACAAAAATACGAGATTTGATATACCCATTGAATCAAAACAGATGTTATCAAGTACTTTAGAATATCCTAAAGGACATAATATATCAGTAAGTGATATAAGGATAGATTTTATTAACTTAAATGTATTTTTGAATCACTCAAGAGCGAATATTATTTTGTAGGATGATCCAAATATCTCTCCAATACAGACAACAAACACTAAGTCTGTCACAACAGGTCGGACATCAAGTAATGAAATTCCTCATAGGACTCCAAAAGCAGCACAGACTCCATTCAGGACACCAAAATCTGTTAGGAGAGGTGTTGGTTCAACTGATCAACGAATATTAGGTACACCGGATTATTTGGCACCGGAGTTATTGTTAAGGTTAGTTAATAAAAATAACATAATTCTGCCTAAATAAAAGTACATGTATAATTTGAAAATCTTATTTTATTTTTAGGCAAGGTCATGGTGCAGCAGTAGACTGGTGGGCCCTTGGTGTATGTTTGTATGAATTTTTAACAGGAATAACACCGTTCAATGATGAAACACCCCAAGCTGTATTTAACAACATACTAAACAGAAGTATGTAACTCAATAACACTTCAAAGGCATCAACTAAGACTTTTTTGTGTTGATTTTCAGATATAGAATGGCCTGAAGGCGATGAAGCTTTATCAGATAATGCTGTACAAGCTGTGGAATCTTTACTATCAATGGATCCGTTGGTGAGACCTGCTTACAAGGAAGTCAAACAATTCGAGTATTTCCAAAATGTGAACTGGGAGAATCAGTTATTAGAAGAGCCACCATTTATACCACAACTGGAGAACCCTTTGGACACTTGCTATTTTCAAGGTAGGCACAAACTATTTTTTATCATGATTTTCAAGTTTTTGAATTTGTTTTTCATTATTTTCAGCTCGCAATACTTTACAACATTTGAACGTGTCCAAATTTGATTCGTAATTTAAGATTTTAATATGAATTTTTACTATACTAACTTATTTTACTGCTAAATGCATTTTTTTTGCTAGAAAGCACTTATTTGTGTATTTTATATTATAACTTTGTACATTGTGTAAATACTATTTATTATATTCATAAAAAATATTGTATGCTGGTAATATTATAATATAATGAACTATTGTTTGTATCTAATTGTAATTATAATTTTAATTAAATATTAATTTCGTAATGAACACACAATGGTTTATGTTAAATATTTTATTTGATAACTACATATTGCGAAATCATACTTAGTTTACACCAGCAGGCCACTTCCATTGATTTTTTGGAGCTTCTTTCATCAAAGGCTCCCACGGTTTCCATGCTAACATTTTGCGGGATAAAGTTAATTCGTTTTCAGCTTGTACAATCAGCTCTTCGACTTGGCCACAACCAATTTTTTCTTCGATTGCTGCTATATCAGGAGTCTAAAGGATGAAACAATAATCAATTAAACCTATTTATGTTAATAATAAGTTTTATTATGGGGCTTACATTTTGTACAATGGCTGCTCGTTCTGTGATGATACTTTCAGTGTATTTTTTATAAGCTGCTTCCTCGGGCATTTTTTGCAAAGTTCTTAAAATTTTGCCATAAAGAACGCTTAAAGTATGATGAGGATTTTGCGATACTGCCAAACCTGTCAGACCTGTTGTCTATAATATCAAAAACACACAATTAAATTATTACTATTATAAAAGTAACTGCTAAATTATTAATGTTATAATATATATACGTACAGCTTTTCTCACGATATTTGCCATGATTTATGAGTGATTCTGCGTTAATAATATTATTATGCAATTTGTCAAAGGAATTAGATGTGCAGTTTTAGGTTATGAAATTATCTGTCAAAAGTGAACAATGGTACCAACAGTTACTATGGTTACAGAAGTAAACTAATGGCGGTGCTTTTAAATTTATTGTATAAGTTTTATAATTGTTATATAAAATTTGTATTAAAATGTCTATAGAAGACAGTTTTTATGAAAATTTATTACTCGGTTTGCCGAATGTTTTGGGTAAGATATACAACATAATTATTTTATCACGTGTTTAAAATTTACTTAGCATGATTTTAGAAAATGTTCCTCGTATAAGAAATGTAATAATTTACAAAAAACAAGCATGTGAACGTTTGTTATTAAATTCCTGGGAGCAAAGACATTGCTGCATTTTGCCACAAGATTTAAAAGAATTCTACTTGTCGACTGATGGATTGAAATTAGTCTGGAGCTATGAGTACTCACGTAAGCTACATTATTTATGTATTATATAAAATGATATTGATTTAATACAAAAACGATTTTTGTCACAGCTCAAGACTTGCGAGAGGTTGGGTATATGCATATACGTTCCATCACCGAATTTGTACAATTATCTACTTTAAAAGACGAGTTGGAGCAAAATCCAGTTGAAGATGCCCCGAGGATTGGACAAAAGTCCAGGATAATAGAGTTTGATAACATTGATAATCTTGCCAAGGTAAACTTGGATAAAAGTAGTGTTTATGCATAGATAAACATGTATGTGTTAATGTTTGTGTTTTTTATAATTTTATTTGTTTAGGTGTTGATGATATATGAAGAGTCTGAAAAAACTCCTAAATTCTGGTTACTGGATTTACCATCCGAGCATAACAATAACAAACAGCAGTGGACGTTATTGGCAAATTCTTTCTCGCAGTATCTTCGAATGAGTATTGCTCATCTGGGTTTACCACAGTGGCAATTGTGTTTTTCGAAACAAGGAATGCTACCATGGGCAGAGGTAAGAGTACATTTAACCAAAAACTTTCCTAATTGTATAAATAATTGAAAATCGATTATAATATTATCAATTTAACAATCTATTTGAAATTTTGCATAAATATTATATAATTAATATATTTATAAGCTTTAGATTTTTTTGTTCGACTTTGAGTTAATGTTAATTTTCAGACAATTGTTGAATTAAAAGAACAATAAATAATGTTCTATTTGTTTACACGTTTCGACACGGTATGTGTGTCATCATTCAGCTTTTTTTTATTTAATAACAGTATCACACCTGGAAAAACACTCACAAAAATCAAATTAACATTATTTGAAAAACAAAACAAAATAAGTAAAGAACTAGTGGTCTATGGCATTGTGCCTTAAGTTTTTATTTACGGAACTTCCCGTACCGTAATGAAATATTCGAGAAATTTTAAACGTTTTCAAATATATTATTAAGTTAATTAATAATAATTATTAATATATTACAAATACTGTAACTTTCATTATTTTTGCTATCTTGTTATATCTGAGCAAATCAAATGTAAATTATAAATCATAAATCAATTTATCTCCAGAACATTACCAATAGTTATTTCATTTCGAATTCAATTTCAAAAAAAAAAAATAGTTGCCTATAATATAATTTACACAAAATTGAAAATCCCGCATAGTCACAGTCTAAACGCATTTGCAGATAATTCTATTCGACATTTTCACTTATACTGTACTTAGCTTGGCGGCATTTTCACATTTTTCAATTGTTTTCACAAAATTGGAATTGGAAAAGTGGTCCAGTACATAAACAGTCTAAACGCACTTGGGTAAATATTTGTACCAGTGTGGCGCTTATACTGTGCTTAGCCTGGGTATTTTTTTCAATTTTTAATCCAAAATTACAAAAATATTTTTTGAAAAAAATAATTAGAAACAATTTTTTAACCAAAAGCAATTATTTTGTTGAAACAAGCAGAAAGTTCTTTGAATCAATTAAATCGGACGCTTAGTTCTCTCAAAAACTGCCATTTTTTTAACATTTAGCTCTGTATCTCCGAAACCGCTGGGCCTACCTTTGCCAAAAACTAATAACCACTTCTCCCAATCATTACAAATTGAATGTTTTTTAGATTATTCAAATTCGATACTCCTTTCTCTCAAAAACTCGATTTCTATTTTCTGCACTCTTTGCGCCATATCTCCGTAACCAAAAACTAATAAGCACATCTCCCTACCAATAGGTATCGAATGTTTTTTAAACCATTCAAATCGGTTGATCCGTGCGCCCGAAAACGTGGACGAAAAAATGCGGACATACAAAACACACACTCACGCACATCCATTTAGTTTCTGAGGTATGCCAGTAAAATGTTCAGAAACCTCCAAAACGTCGAGAAATGCAAAAATTTTCATTTTCGATTTTCGGCCCATAACTACAACTACCCTACGGGAAGTTAATATATAAAGAAAAATTTGTTTTTAAGTTGAAAGAGAAAGTTATGTAGTGATTTATTTATATAATTATTATATTTTTCAGCAATTGTTTATGCTGATTGCTCCACACTTGCTGCTGCCTGAACCTGGTCACGTGGTCATACCTGCTCCTGATGTAACAGAAAATATAATCGATGAAAGTATTTTCAAACCAAAACCAAGAGTCAGCAAACCGACGTTCAGAACCAATTGAAAAATTGTTAGTAGTGGATCAATGTAAGTTTTTATTTATTTATTTATAATAAAAACTCATGTGTGTTTTGCAAAATCTAAACTGTATTAATAAATCAATAGTATGTTTACATAATATTTAAATCTATTGCAAGTTTAAATCACAGATCATTCGGAAATGTTTGAATGCTTAAAGCAAATTCAAATACTAATCACTTATGTGATGGAATATTAATTATTTGTGCATGTTAGCTATAAAAATATATTTAACTATAATATTTGAGATTATCAACATTATTAAAATTCAGCTAAAATTATATCCTAACTATTATTTATGTCATTTATAAAATTATTATTATTATTATTATGTACACCGGCCAAAAGTGTGATAAAATAATTTCGTAATATCTTTTGGTCTGTTGATTTAAAACCATATCACAAATATGTATATTCATTTTCGACCACTTTGTGGTCGTCAAAGGCACAGAAATTGAGTTCTATGTGAAAATATAAATCTTAGATACAAAAATATCACTAAAAAGTAATAGAAATATTATAAAACTTCTCGGGGAGCGTTTTGTGATGCGTTATTTATTTGCCGGTTTTCGTTTGATGTTATTTCTTCGTTGATGTTTGTTCTGCTGTCGAGGAGGCTTTCATATGGGGGCGTACCTGAAAAAAAAAAAAATATATATATATATATGTGTGTGTGTGTGTTTTCTAATAAATCTCAAAAAATAATGTAAAAAAGTAAATTTTTCAGTTATTTAATTTCGACGTTTCGAAAAAAGATTTGTTTCATCACCAGGCTTTATTCTGCAAAAATTTGGTCCATATCCTTGTTTGACTAGTACAAAATTGATATTTTATTTTATATATGCACTTAATAAATAGCATTAAGAAATCTTGACATAGAAATCTTTAACAAATAATGGAAAAGATTTTTACTTCGTTTTTTTCAACAAATATCAATTTTATACTAGTGCTTTTCAAACAATGATGTGGACCAAATTTTCGCAGAATAAAGCCTGATGATGGAACAAATCTTTTTCCGAAACGTCGAGATTAAACAACTGGAAAACTTACTGTTTTTTATTATTTTTTGAGATTTTTTGTCTGAAAAGAAATATAGTAATTTATTAAATAATTCCGGACACACATACACATAAATATAAAAATTAACACTAAATAAATAACATGTAAGAAATTTCATAGAAAAACAATAATAATAATAGTAAAAACACTTACAATTTTGTTTCCTAAACAGATGAAAACATATTAGGACACATAACTGTGTTTTTTTTTTTAAATTATTATTGTTACATATTATTTATTCAGTTTTAATTTTTATAATTATATCGATTGCACTGAATGAAGGCTAAGATGCTAGCCGAAACGTATGGATTTGAAATAAATTTCTAAAAACTCTCATACTATTTTTATATTGATTAGAATATATATATATATATATATATATATATATATATATATATATATATATTTATGGGGTGTCCCAGAACTCAACGGTTGTCGGCCGCAATTTTACATTTGTTACGAAAAAAAGGACAAACCAAAATACAGACTGGAGTGTCAACTTTAATTTCATATACAGGGTGTCCCAGAATTCAATGTCAATTTGAAAGGGTGTGAAAAAAATATGATTAATGAGTTAATAAATTAATAATTATGAGTTTTCAAGTACAACCTAGAGCTTTGGTAAAACTGGGCCAATTTTTGGATATTGTGGTTAATGTTTATTAACTTTAGATACGTAATCGTAAATAACATGTTTAAGACCATAATAAAAAATAATAACAATTGCTTCAAGTTTTCAAGAATTAAGACTTCTTGAACCATAAATTTAATTTTTTTAAATCAGTTGACTTTGAGAATTTCTCCTTTGAAAAAAATGTGCTAAAGTATTTTGACAAGTTTGTCAAAATGTACATTTTTTCTATTATATTTTACCATTTACCTAATTTTAAATTCATAGCTCAACAAAAAAATTTAATTTTGGAAAACTTGGAACAATTTGGTCAATTTTTTTTCTCTGGTCCTAGAAATGTTATTCATGATTACGGTTCCAAAGTTTTAAATGAGCAAAAATAATAAAAATTAACCACATTAACCTAAAAAATGGTCATAATTCCACCAAAGTTCCAATATAAACTCCAAAGTTCATAACTCCCAAACAACATAAGATAAAAATAATTTCTAGGATTTTTCAGGACAGTTACAGTCAATACTATCACACCATTTCTGCTTGACATTGAGTTCTGGGACACCCTGTATATATAAATTAATACAGATTAATATTTGTATATAAATTTACCGTTTCCGTGTTTGAAAAACGCTAAAAAGATAACACCAAGCAAAGCCGAGCTTCCACAAACGTATGTAAGGACGTCACGGTAGAATGTCACTCCAGTAAATTTGCTTTCCCTGAAAAGAAAAAACAAACGTCAATCAAACTAATTGTTATATTTATATAAATATTTTTTTTTCTTCTTACAAGTTTTGTATAACAATCACAGCCAATCCATTCGAAAGTTTATCAGTAAAGCTCATCAATCCATAAACTAATGCACCGCTATCGGTGTCTTTGCCTATAAAATCACCAGTAACTCCTAAACTTGTTACTAGAAGAATTGAACCAGCAGCACCTGAAAAAGATAGATGATAAATTAATATTTTGGACATTTGGATTAATATTATACAGTAGAACTCCAATTATCCGAATTAATGGGGACCGGAATCCATTCGGATAATCAAATATTCGGATAATCGGAGTTTGTTTTTAAAATTGCCATTGGAGAGAAAAAAAGTTACGTTTTGATATTGCACTATTTTTTTTATTGAATTAAATGAGTGAAACATGACATTTTCACATGTTTTAAATATAAATAAAATGTACTTATGTACAAGTTTAGAAATAAAAATCATTGTTTTGTAAACATCTCCGTCAAAGAATAATAGCGCACTTAGACTTTTTTTGGACAATTTTTTTTCTGAAAGTGATTCGGATAATCGGCGATTCGGATTGTCGGAGTTCGGATAATTGGAGTTCGGATGATTGGAGTTCTACTGTATTTAAATTTCAACATACCAAATAATACTGCTACGACATATATTAAATACGTGATGTAAAACTCGCCGTTGCCGAATCTGGCCCATATACAAGCTGATATTCCTAACACTGCTCCGATCCCATAAGCCAACTGAAATATAAATTTTGTATAATTAATTTTGCTTTCTTCTAATAGTTTATTATTATTATTATTATTACCTTTCTTCCAAAACATTTATTAATCGGTTGTATCAATGGTGATGTCACCAGACTACTTATAAACATAACCAAAGGAATTAAGGCTAATTGACCAGCCGACATTTCCAAAGTCTCGTGCAGATACAATGGTGTAAACACTTGTGTCAGATTTACAAACAGTCTGGTGCACATGTACATTCCTGCAACCTGTAATAATAATAATTAAACTAGTACTGGTTTAATTAACTTCCCCCAAGCTAAGTTATAAAAATCGCAAAAAAAATGAAAATGAAAATTTTTGCATATCTCTATGTTTCAAAAGTTTCTGAACATTTTGAAATACCTTAGAAAAATGGATGTAAGTGTGTGTGTGTGTGTGTGTGTGTGTGTGTGTGTGCGTGCGGATACAAATTTTCGTCACGGGTCAACCGATTTAAATAATTCAAAAAACATTCGATTCGAATAGATAAGGAGACGTGCTGATTAGTTTTTGGCGAAGGCAGGACTAGACGTTTTGGAGATACGGGGCAAAATGTGCCAAAAATGGTAATTCAGTTTTTGAGAGAACGGAGCGCCCGATTTGTATGATTCAAGAAACATTTTATTGTATTGACGAGATTAAAAACTGGTGAAGTTTTTGGGAATGCAGGTCTAGCGGTTTCGGAAGTGAAAAAAATGCGATTTTGCGGACAAAAATGACCATTAGACTATAAATTAACAGGTATTTTATAGAGATTTTAATAATAAAAACAAGTTTTGTTGCATTTTTTTTGGGTTCCGTACCTAGTTTTTAATTTTTAAAGTTCACTTGCAAGGTTCAAACAAATTTCAAAATTTCAATAATTTTTTTTTCAAAAATATACAAATTTTTATACTTAAAATATAAATTATAAATTTACAAATCAGTTTAAAACTGTATATATTTCATATGCGATATTCTACTCGTAAGAAATATATCCTTAGTTGGATTCATTCGGCATCTCTTCTTAATGTAAACATCTTCAAGTGTTTTGAGTGATAAGATCGTTACTGAACAAATAAATATGTAGTGATTATAATTATCTCTTTGAAAATATTTAAAGCATATTGTTATTAATCATTGATCAATAATTATTGATTATTATTAATTTTTTTGCTCGAATATTTAATTGTGGTACGGAAAGTTCCAGCAATTCGCAAAAAAATAATCGCAAAAAAATCGAAAATAAAATTTTTTATATATCTTTACGTTTCAGAGGTTTCTGAACATTTTGGCATGCCTTAGAAAAAATGACTGTGTGTGTACGTGTGTGTATACAATTTTTCGTCGACGATTTTGCGAACACGGTTCAACCGATTTGATTGATTCAAAAAACATTCGATTCCTATTGATAAGGAGACGTGCTGATTAGTTTTCGTCAAAGGCAGGTCTAGCCGTTTCGGAGATACGGGGTAAAAAGTGCCACAAACGGTAACTCAGTTTTTAAGAGAACGGAGCGTCCGATTTAAATAATTCAAAAAACATTTTATTTGTATTGACGAAATGAAGAACTCATTAAATTTTTGAGAAGGCAGGTCTAGCGGTTTCGGAGATCTAGTAAAAATCGTAGAAAAAAATGCCATTTGGCGGTCAAAAATGATCATTAAATATATGCACTTGGTATTTTCAGATATTTTATAAAAATTATAATAAGTAAAAATTTTGAGAACATTTTTATGGGCTCCGTACCAATATTTACAAGTTAGACGGCTATGCGGCGCTTGCGCGCTTTGATATTTCGATTCCAAATCACCTATGCAGCGCGCTTTAAAAAAATGTTCCAAATTTAAAAAAAAAATCAAAATCCTAAATAAAATAAAATCAAATTTTTTAAAAAAGTCAATTTGTTTCAAAAAACTTCAAAATTTCCCGAAAATCTAATTTTTTCCAAGTTTTTTTTTTTAATTTATTTTTCGGTACGGGAAGTTCCAGCAATTTGTACCACTAGTTTTTGTAAGGTGATTTAGTAAAGTAAGGCAAAACATGACTGCATTAGTTAAAAAATAATAATCTAACAAATTGAATTATATAGACTATATTTTATGTGCAGTCACCACTAGTTAAAAAATAATTTCTTTAAAAAAAATGCTCACCTGGTACGTTTTATAATCTTTAAGTAGACTGAATGTTGTTCTGGATCCGGTACCGGCTTCTGATCTTTCTAATACTGTTTGATTTTTTTCTCGAACCAGGATGTGAAATAGGGCAGAACATAAAGCACCAAAGGACAAACCTTGGATAAAAGATATATATAATATAAATACATACATATATGTATATATATATATATATATATATATATGTATATATATATATATATATATGTATATATATATATATTTATATATATATATATATATACATATACATTATATTATTATTATTACCGACTAAAACAATTTCTTGAAACTTAATAGCATCATCAGGACCAACTTGTTTTCCAACTTCTTCCGATATATTAGGTTGCACACTTTCAGAATCAAACAAAATCTTTCCACTCGTTAACCCTGTACTCATTGCAATAAAACTATTGTAATATGACATATTATCATAACTATACTCATTCAAAAGCATTGATGCATTTTTGGGACCGGCATCAGACTCTGGTAATGCTGATTCTAATAAACTCCATGTTACGGCATAAACTAACAAACTTGAAAAAACTGTGAAACTATATCTGCAAAATATAATTGACTTGTTAATCATATTCACATGCATATGAATGCAAATATGAAATTTACCTTATAGCAGCCAATTTAGTTCTATCATGCTCATCTGCTGATAGTTCTGGTATAAGAGCCAGGTGACTAATTTGAACAGCAGCCCAGCCGAATTGGAAAATGCATACAAATGCACAATAGTAAAACAATTGTGCCCATGCGTGACTGTTTGTGCATCCGACACAAGGAGAGAATATAAAAGGAAAGGCTACAGCTGTGCATAAAGTTCCTGAGTAAAGGACATTTAATAAAAATATAATAGAATATATAAGATAATTTAATAGAAAATTTGGTACCTAATAAATGCCATGTTTTCCTACGTCCGTATCTGCACAACCACCAGTCATCAGTTTTGTCTGAATGAAAACCGACGAAAGGAGTTGCTAAGGCGTCAGCAATCTGGATAAAAGATAATACAACAATGATAATTGAAAATTTAAGTGCAACTTAAAATTGTGGTCAAACTGTGACTATTTCCAAGTTTTCATTTACCTGTCCAACTAGTAAAACGACTCCAGCTTGAGCAGAACTGAATCCGAGCACAAGATGAAAATATACTAAAAGATATGTGAACCACATTGAAGCACAGACATCGTTTAAAACATGTCCAATGCCATAACCTATAAAATTACGCCAAGAAACTTTGTGTGATGTTTCTATCGGAGCATCCATTGTAGAAGAATACTATTTAGTAATACTTTGTTTGTGTGATGTGGTAAAAATCTGAAAGGAAATAAAATTAAAACTTAGAGGAATTGATATAGGAGAAATAGAAATAAATGTACTTTGAAAGAAACAAAGAAATGCTATTGTGGATTTCTATTACTAATGGTTGTGCTCTCAATAACTTTCCACAAATCATGTATTAAAATCAAAACTAAACATTTTTCAATTTGCACTCAGCACTGTTTTAACCACGGCACATTTATTCAACCAATCAAATTTTAAAAATATATCAACAGATCCTTTTTGCAGATAATTACATATTTAAGATAAATCACAAGGTTAGCAATTTGGATTATCTATCATAAATATTTATTATTATTTGACTGACTTGGTTTATTGTCGCGCAGTATTTGCTAAACCATTTTGTGCTGTGACTAATTATTTCTGATAATGATCTATTCGGATTTTTTGCGAAAGTTTTAAATAAACACACATGCCAAATTATAATGTGTCCATTTTTGTGTGTGTTTGTGAGACTGTCAGAGATGACAGCTGAGGGAGTGACGTCATCCGCCATTTTTCCTATGGTTCTCAAACCTAAGGGAGAAAAAATTAACGAAATTATTTAAATATTATTAAAATTAGGTGTAAGTGCATATTTTGCCTTAAGACATATTTCGATGTGTGTAATTAATTGATCTAATCAATAAAAATTGAGATTAGGTCATTCTTAATCGCCTTACTTTTTATATTTTTTTTTAATTTGAAAATTTGCTTTATTTGACTCAAATACATACATTGAATTTTACATAAATACTCAAATTGTATACACGTATATCATTATACTTTTATAATAATTTTATGAAACATCAAAATATATCGAAACACAAAAAAAAAATAAAAATTATAAATCCCAAAATGTTCGATAAAATGAAAAAAATGAATTAATATTTTTGGATTTTATAAGTTGCGTTCATATTTTCTATTTTGATACTTTTGCTTTTTGTTCTACTTGGCAATTCATACCTGAACGATGACACCTAACAAACGTCGAAACGTATAAATAAAAGTATTTATAATATTATTCAATTTTTTAATTTGACGAATTGGTTGCTAATCAGATACAGTCAAAAGATATACATATATACATAGATAAAAGAAGAGTATATATACATATACTCCTATCTCCTATCCTATAGTATACTACATATACTATACTAAATAAGAGCATATATACATATGTTTTTAGCAAATTTTTTTATTATGTTATATTTTATTCTTTGATGTTCGTAAAGTTTAACATTTGTTTTCTACGAATCAGTATTAATCATTGTTATAATTATAAATTATGTTATCAATACTTTTCATGAACTCTTTTGTTTAAACATTTACATGGAACGTTTTGATAACCCGCTAAAATAGTTATAGATTAAAAATAATATATAAATGTATTTATATATGTATATGTATATCTTATATATAAAATTGTTCTGTAATGATGTATGAAAGATAATCCTCCTAAACGATTATTCGGATTTTGATAAATCTTTCTGAATTTTGTTAAGGGGATTTTTTAGGATGTATGTGATTATAAAAATATAGTTATATTGTAGAAATAAATGGAAAAGTTACAAAAACCCGCTTATCATTGTTTGACATTTGAAAATATTTGAGATATTGTTTGGCAATGAAAACTGTCATCGGCCAAAAATTTCAATTTACTTATGAGTCTAGACAATATTAGAATATGAATGAATGAGAAAAATTAAATATTGACATCATTATTAACAAAAAGCAGCTGGGATCTGCCAGAAATTAAAAAAAATATAAGATACAGTACATGGTTTAGCAGATTGAATTATACACATATGAACAGGATTTGACAAATTAATTCACTTGAAATATGAAATTAAGTATTAATCAGGGCTGGTCCTACCTTTAATGCGACGCATGCGAAAAATACCTTTTTTACCTTTAAAACGAGCGCACTCCTTAGGGGGCGCCAACATAAGATTCGGATATGAAATATTCAATATAGTTTTTATTAAATTTAATTCAAGAAGTATATAATTTTTTTGCATCTTTTACTAATCTTTAAATTTCATTTTAAAACAACAAATGGGAAAGTAAAGATATAAATACATACAATTCGGCCCTTACGGTATCAATTAGGAGACGTTTAAAGTGCAATTTTAGACATCTTAATTAATAAAATTAAAATAATCCAGCATGAAGTACCAGTGTTATGTTAATAATGAAAAGCTAGAATTTTTGCTCTCTATGATTTGCTCAATAGAATAAATCGCATAAAATGCCCAAAATAAATAAGTAAAATGTTTTAAAAGCCAAATATTAATTAATGATAATTTTAATAATAAACTGTTAAAACAGGTAAAATAATAGGGAAGGGGGCGTGCTAAAAAAAATGGCATGCGGGTTCTTAGGAGCCCAGGAGCGACCCTGGTAATAATATGTATATTAAACTAGTGGTGCGTGGCATTGTGCCTTAAGGCAAATTGCTGAAACTTCCCGTACCGTAATGAAATATTTGTGGAATATTTCAAATATATTATTACCTACAAATACTATAACTTTCATTATTTTTGCTATCTTATTGTTATATCTGAGCAATACAAATGTAAATCATAAATCAATTTATCTCCAGAATCGCTCATATTGTAAAATATGTTTTGGTGTGAAGAGTAATTTCAAAAAACAATAATTATTATTTTTAGGTAAACGGTAAATATTAGTATGGGATATTAAGAAGTTGTAGGCGTGGGTACAGGACAACGTTTGTTGGGTCATCTAATATATATATATATATATATATATATATATATATATATATCAAGAATGTAATGTTTAATCTTATTTTTAATCATTAATACTTATAAACAATTATAATGTGTTATTCACAAATACAAATGTTTGACTAACCTATGAGCCTATAAATTTTCATTTATTAAAACTCTAAAGTTTTCGCTTGCATTTCTTTATGCAAAAACAATATTTATATATATATATATATATATATATATATATATATACAACAATATAAATTTCAACGTTCGACTAGATTCGAATCTGCCGCCTTCGCAAATCCTTGCAGGTTGGCTAAAATTTCAGGTTATCCACCACACTACTCCTATGAAACGAATCGCTTGAGCGAAAAGCAGAGAAGAGCAGAGAGAAGAGTGTCTAATTTAAGCCACTCCCTCCACATTTTTCGATTGCACTCTTTTTTGCAGGATACACAACCTGTTTTCCCCACTGAAAAAAATGCCAAAATGATGTTTCGGCGAACAGGTCATTGTTGTTTTAGCTAATAATTAGCTAAATTAAATCATTAACACACGCAGCATTTATGTAGTTTTAATAAAACACACGAAAGGAATATGGATATAGAAGATGCAGAGTGTAATTGATTGTGTTGAGGAAGATACATAACTTTTGTTGGTTAGCCAGGATTATTTATAGAATTTAACCATGGCGAAGCCATCGGCACCGAAGAATCCAGTGTTTTTGAAATCACTAGGTTTACAGGTATTTACTTTTGCACATTTTATACATTTCATGTACAACCAAATATGTATATGTTTTTGTTTTGTTCAGGCTGCATCACAGAAAGAAGAAAGTTTATATGTACCAGGTTTCAAACGTACTATCAAACAATATATTCCATCAGTACCACCTGATATTAAGCTGCACGAATGTTTGGATTGTGGAGACAAGTAAGTTTAAAGAAAACTTTAACAGTCGTTGTATACAAACAACAAATTGTGTACGTAACTTTGACAGATGGTAATTTGGTAATGTTTAATGCTCAAAGGTACAAATTTAATATTTATATTTATATGCTTGATGAAGGTCAAGGTTTTAATTGATTTTTGTATGTTTTGGATTTGATTTTGTTGTTTATATTGGAGGTTATACAAGATTGTAACGGATTTCTCACAAAAATTATAACTAAAATCTCTCACATTACTAACAATCATATATTAAAGTAGTAAGTAGATGTGCCAAGTTCCAAATGTACTATGAAACAATATATACCATCAGTACCACCCGATATTAAACTGCACTGTAAAAGTAAACTGCAATGTAAAAGAGTTTAACAGTCGTGTACAAACATAAAATTGTATATGAAAACTTTAACAGATGGTAATTTTTAAATGTTTAATGCTCAAAGGTACAAATTTAATATTTATATTCATGTGCTTGATAAAGGTCAAAGTTTTAATTGGTTTCAGACTTGATTTTGTTGTGTATTTTGAGGTTATACAAGATTATAATAATTCACAAAAAGTATAACTAAAATCTCTCACATTACTAACAATCATTTATTAAAGGAGTAAGTAGAGGTGCCAGGTTTTAAACGTACTATCAAATAATATATTCCATCAGTACCATCTGATATTAAGCTAGACGAATGTTTGGATTGTGGAGACTATATATTTTCATTTGTTAACTATTAACAAGATTGACTTCCATTTGTTTTTCGTGAAGTGATACAAGTTTGTACTACAAATTACAAGTATTTTCTTGCAAAATACATAACTAAAATTTGTGATCTTACTGCTAACTTCTTTCAAGTATTTTTAATCTAGTGAGTAAATGTTTTAATCGTTAGATAAAAGAGAACTCTGTCATTATATACAAATTACATATTTGTTGCCCATAATGTAAAAGAAAACTTTAACAGTCGTTGTATACAGATGGTAATTTTAATGTAGTGCTCAAAGGTATAATATTAATATTTATATTTATGTGCATTTTCACAAAAATTATTTATTTATTTATTTATTTATTTAATGCCCAAGGCGATAATACAATATAATTACATTTTAAAGCGTACAAATTATAAACTAAAGATAATATGAGATAATTTAACCATTAGGAGTTCATAGATAGCTTTGTATATATACATAACACTTAATATAAACTGAGTAATTATAACTAAAATCTTTCATGTTAGTAACAATCATTTATTAAAGTATTAAGTAGATGTGCCAAGTTTCAAACGTACTATCAAATAATATATTCATCAGTTCAGAGTTTATAATGTAAAAGAGTTTAACAGTTGTTGTATGCAAACAACAAATTGTGTACGTAACTTAGATGGTATACATAACTTATAGATGGTATTTTAATGTAATGCTCAAAACCGTTTAAAAAATACTTTGCTAAGTACACAAAAGACATATTATTATAAAGCTTGAATAAATTTAAATTATGTTGACAAATACGTTACAAAGTTAAGGGCAACGATGAGCACAACTTGATATTTGTATATAATTATAAAGTTCTCTTTCATTTAACAAAGGATTCAAAGAAATTAAACACCAAATTGTATACGTAACTTAAATGGTATACGTAACTTATAGAGGGTAATTTTAATGTAATGCTCAAAAGTACAAATTTAATATTTATATTTATGTGCTTGATAAAGGTCAAAGTTTTAATTGGTTTTGGATTTGATTTTGTTGTTTATATTGGAGG